TGATGAAATTCACTAACCAATGCGTATGTCATGGTTTTTTGCAGGGTACACATGTTCAAAGATAAATTTCGACATTAGATACAAGGAATTTATCGAGAACAATCCTGAAGTTGCTTCATGGTTGGATGCGATTCCGAAAGAGCAATGGTGCAGGTCGTATGATGAGACAGGACGTAGGTTTGGTCATATGACAACTAACCTATCTGAGTGTGTGAATAAGGTGCTTCGTGGAGCACGAAATCTGCCTATAACTGCATTGGTCAAGATGACATTCAGTAGACTCGTTGAGTATTTCGTCAAGAGACGTGAAGGGATTGAAAAAGATATCTCACAAGGTTGGATAATTTCAAAGAAGGTTGAGGCAGCTTTGCAAAAAAAATGATGAATTGGCCGGCACTTATTGTGTGAGGATATATGATAGTGAGCTGTTATTGTTTGAGGTTGAGGATGCCTACAATCAATCTACACACGAGGTCAATGACACCATGAGAGTGGACTTAATCAATCGTACATGTCAGTGTGGTAGGTTTACAGCAAGGAGGTATCCCTGCAGTCATGTATTAGCAGTTTGCAAGGTAGCCAAGCTAAACCATTATGATTATGTGGATCATGTTTTCAAAATTCCAACCATTGCTAAAGTATATGCTGCACACTGGTTTCCTATTGGCAATGAATTGTTGATTCCATCCGTTGTTGGGCCTACTGTAATTCTGGATGCTCAGTTGGTACGTGCAAAAGGAAGACCAAAGTCTTCAAGGATTCAGAATGAGATGGATTGGGTTGAGTCTCAACCCTCTAGCAGTCAGAGCAGATGTAAGCATTGCAAGCAAGTTGGACATAACATTCGTACATGTCCATTGAGACTAAGGCAAGCATGATTACGTATTGTTTTTGTGTAGTACTTTGTTTTGTAATGACAATCACTTTACGTATTGTTTTGTTTCCTTGTACCCTAAACTTTATCTTGTATTAGTTATGTATTGTGTTGTTGAAATGTATTGTTGAACTGTATTCTTGTGTTGTTGAAATGTATCCGTTAAGTTTAGCGAGTCACTCGTTTCGTATTGTGCAATCCGAATGTCTACCATACCCATTTACCCCTTCCCCGAGTCAGTTACGGTTATTGTATTACACATCAATTACCAAGATGCAAAAAAAATGGATTGAACAGCACCTGCTGTTGCATCTGCAACTGGTCTACCCGGGTAACTCGTAATGATATACCCGAGTACATCCTACCCGGGTAGACCAGTTCGTGGTACCCGGGTAGACCAGTTGCAGATGCTGTTGCAGATGCTGTTTTGGCCAATTTTTTTTGCATTTTGGTAATTGTTGTGTAATACCTACATACAGTATGACTTGGGGGTGGATTGATTTCGTAGAAATAGGATGCAGTAATCAAGATGTTCGCCAATGAAAGTTGAACATGAATATTAAAGTACTTTGGGTTGAATTGATTTCCAAATTAATTATGACAATATTAATGCAAGGTCCCATACTAATGCATAGAACCAACAAGTCTGAACGTGCGCAAAACGAAAATTTCATTCATTCAAATTTTGAACATCCAGTACAAAAACATCCATGCAATGTAGGTAAAGTTTCTAAATGTACCAAAATGACTACATTACATCAAACTAAATCAATGATATGAAACCCTATGGACACACTAATCCGATGGCGTGTCCTCCCCATTCTCTTCATCCGATTGTGTGTCATCCCCATTGTCATCATCCCCCTCCTCCTCCTCCTGAGTATGGGCACCCTCGCCAATTAAACCCTCCAAGCGTGAAACCCTTGTGTCCAATCGTGCAACCCTTGTGTCCATCTGGTTCCGCCACTTGCTCGTGCTCTGTCTATATCCTCTAAAGTCAGTAGTCAGATCATATATGGATGCCATGACATGATCAAGTGTCCATCCACCCTCAGGAGGAGCTGGTGGTCGCCGACTGCGGGTGGGACGTGTCGGTCTGACATCAACCTCAGCAACGCCATCATCATCGTCATCATCATCAAGGCCTACATCATAAACCATGAAAAACACATCTTATAAATACCACATTAAAAAATAAACAACACAAAATTGCATAAACTCATAAAGACCAACACATCACCTGCAGGTGCATCCTCCATCTCAGCATCGTGGTGGAATGGGATCTCAGGTGGTTCTGGTGCCTTCTTCCACGTCCAGATACCCGCTCTGTTCGGTAGGATCCCACACTGCTTCAGGAGCCTCTCACCAAATATAGCATTCCAGCCTCTGGCGGTCTTCAAGGTCTCTGTTGCCATAGGCACTCCAAATCTATGCAGAATCTTCTCCACCAGAAATGCAAAAGGCAATTCAGCCTTCTTTGACTTGGCTGCCTTCCACATCAGTATGCATATGTAATGCCTTCAGTTCACCTGCTGACTGTGAAGGAGGGCCCACAGGATGACAAAGTCCCCTTCCAGCACCTTTGAGTGATTATGCGGGCGCTGGAAAATAATATGTGTCACCACATAATGAAGAATGCGAGCAGAAACTGACAAGTTGCTAACAGGATAATGAGCAAAATGACCGGGCTCAGCGTCTGCCCTCCTAGTCTCTGTACCAATGGTCTCCCGGTTATAATCACCAAATATACGATGGCTGTCTCCATCATATAGTGCTGCTCCTGTGACACCATCAAAATCGAACCCCAGTAGCTCCGTCCAGATAGGAGCAGTCATGATGATATTAATCCCGCAGACACGGGAAGTCAGCTCGCCTTGCGAGTAGCCAAGGTTCTGGTAGAAGGCTCTTACCATAACCTCCGAGTATGGGCACCGCATCTCCGCCAGGTGAAGTAAATGTGTCTGCTCAAGAAGCGGCACAATGTCAAAACGCTCTAGGTTGAAGAATGCCGAATTCAGTGATTTCGGTTCGCAGATCTTCCGGGTCATGAAAAACTTCACGTACTTCTCGTGTGAAGGTATGTCATCCTCAAACAAATATCCGAACGTCAAGTCCGGAGCCTGACTCGAAGCAGCCTGGGGCTGAGAGGATGACGACCCATCGTGACGACTCTTGGTTCTTCTCTCGGAATGGGTCACTGGCAGCTTTGAAACGCGTCGAGAGGTCATTGTGTCACACTATTAAACTGAAAAAATAACCAAAATCAGAAATTAGATACATGTTAGGGTTAGGGTTAGGGTTAGGGTTAGGGTTAGGGTAAGCGTATGACATACAAATTGATAAAATAATTCGGACAGAATCAAATGATATAAACGAAAATACAATGAATCAGAACAGAAATCATAACATAATTGAAAAAACTAAAAAAAAATGCACCTTTGATCGATTTCAATCGGTAGAAGGCAGAGAGGTTGCAAGGTCCGCGAATGATGATCAGAAACAAGACGAATTGGTGCAAGATTATGCCTGAAATCGCTCAAGAAGACACTCCTCCAGCAGCTCTACTCGGGTACCCCTTTTGTGGGTTTTCGAAATGGGGCTGCTGGGGTATTTTAAAACCCTACCATCGATGTTTACCCGGGTACACTGCTCCATACCCGGGTAAATAATTCAACCATTTTTCCAGATTCAAGAACTCTACCCGGGTATACCCCTACATACTCGGGTAGATAAAAAGTTTCAAAAATTACCCGGGTAGGTAATGGTGTACCCGGGTAGGCTTCGTGGTCAACGGTCAAACATGGGCAGATTGGTGTTATGTTTGTTGGGGAGGGTAAATTTTTGAAATAGTTTTGAATGAAGGGCAATTTGGTAATTAGTTATTAATTAAGGGTCATAAGGGTCAAAAAGCCCGAGATTCTTGCCATATTTAGCTATTAAGACTTGGGCCCACAACTGAGACAGAGACTTGATTAGAGATCAAACACTTTTCTGGACAAAAGCTTCATTTTGTAAAAGATAATAAGCTTAAAATGACGATAAGCTTAAAAAGACCAAACACATTCACACATACAGAGTCATACTCACACATCCAGAGTCATACAAACTTTAACGTCTTGTATCAAAAAGCTTATCACATGACGTTAAAGTTTGTATGACTCTGGATGTGTGAGTATGACTCTGTATGTGTGAATGTGATTAAAATAAACACTAAAAGATAACAATAAATTGGTTTAGTTGCTAGTAAAATAACATGCAGCTCTGTATGTGTGAGTGTGACTGTGTATCTGACGACAAACATTCAGCTTATTCTTGTTATTTTTTTTACCGCAAACTAAATAAATAAATAATCAAGAGCTAAACACTCATATTTTAGGAAGCTACGAGTAATCAAACTTACATCCACAACAACAATCATGAGGTTTCCAACGATGATTGTTTCCCCTTTATAGAAGATGTTAACATGTATTAAGAGAGACCATGAGAGAATGTTGAAGAAAAGAGACACATTAATCTTCTTTGATCCAAATCGAAATCATCCCAAACTACTAAGAAAAGATCAAAAGAAAATTGTAATAAGAGATGGGAGAATGTAAAGGAAAAGAGAATTTTTTTTTTTTTTTGGAGATTTGGGGCTTAGGGCATGTAAGGAGGTTTAACAACGTTTATAAAATTTTTAACAAAATTATGGATTTGAAACAATTATAAAGTACATGGGGTTAATTGAAACAATTAAAAGTACAAAGGGGTAATTTGAAATATTGTCAAAGTTCAAGGGAGTAACTTATATTTTAGCCTTTTTTTTATACCTATCAATCTCCAACACCGCTAGATCAGAATCCAAGAGAAGAGAAATGATAAATATTAGTTGAAATTTTAATCTAATAACATAAGAGATTAATAGGTAAAGTAGATATAAAAAAAGATAGGTAAAATAATATAAACATGATATGGTTTATAGTTTGGGAAGGGGCAGAATGTTAAATTATTTTTAAAGCAGGGGTGAAATAGTCAATAAAAAATTACTTCTCAATGCTAAAAATAAAAACATTTTTTTTAAGAAATTAATATTACTACATACATCGACGATATTTTAAGGATTAAAGTTTGAGAAAAAAAAATATTTTCATGGAAAACCCATTTTGACGACCTTAACCAATCCATTTTCATAACAAAAATTCGAGGAAAATCACATTTTTATTTTTCTCTCTTCGATTTCTCCAACCTTTCCACAAATCACTCGCTCGAATCAAACCAAAACAATTGTAGCCCTCAAACTGCTTGCTGTAGATCTGTACAAAAACTCCCAAGCATTTTTCTTTCTCCAAATTTCGATAGAAAACCGTCTCCTACCCATTTTTTTGGGTCCCTGTATGATACCCTAAGAAATTTCAGATTTTTCTTCCCAGATTTTGTTAGTTTAGGCCGCAATCGCAACCCCATTTCTTGAAATCATCGTTCGCGGGGTTTGGCTCTAGTTCCCAATTCAGCGACCCAGTAGAAACCCTAGCTTCTTACTAGTAGATAGCTTCTTGTACATTGTTTTTGGGTAGAAATTTTTTGTGGGTTTTTTGTTTTGAATAGGTAGGATGAACAATAGAGCGAGATACCCACCTGGGATCGGTCTAGGACGAGGTAATGGAGGTTTGAACTCGAACCCTGGGTTTCAACCAAGGCCACATCAACATCAGTATGTGCAGAGGCACATGGTGCATCCTCAGCAGTATCAGCAGCATCAACAGAATCAGCAACATCAGCATCAGCAACAGCAGCAGCAACAGCAACAACAACAACAACAGTGGTTGAGAAGAACCCAATTGGGGGGTACTGACACCAACGTTGTTGAGGAGGTTGAGAAGACTGTACAGTCTGAAGCCGTCGACCCAAGGTGGTTTTTTGTCTTTTACTTTGTGTTTGTTCTTTTTATTTTGGTACTTACCCATATTAATTTCTTGAAATTACATTGTGTGTGTGTGATAAGTATCAGAGTATGGACTGGAGAATAGAAAGGAACTTGTATTAATTGAACTTAATCCTAACACAGATTCAGTATGAACAATATAGAGATATTTTCCAAACTGAAGAAATTACACTTAATAGGAATGGAAACTAATGCAGAAATACTGATAAAAAAGAAGATAGAAAATTAACCTGAACAATCAGAGAGGTTCTGGAATCTCTCCCAACCCAGCCCAAGGTTCCAATTACACCACAGATGCTTCCTCCTTTTAAACAGCATGGGATGTGCACTCCCACAACTCCCCTCAAGCGTAATTGGTTTCCATTGCAACAGAATTGGGAATATTCCCTTCAACTGGTGACTCAGCATTAGATAACAGAATTAAGAAACAAGGATCCCTATGATACTTAGTCTTGGGGGTGTGTGTGTGTGTTAGGCATACATGTGCATTTTAATGCGATTGATGAATGCAGTGTGTAGGTTTGTGGTTTGGATTTGCTGATTTTTTGGGGATTAGATTGGGTTAGGATTTGGCATGAGACCTTTTCAATTCAATATTTATTTGTGTGAGTGAGTGGTTGATTGCCTATGAGTATTAAAGGATATGTAACTATGGGAGTGAACCCTATCTTCTATGAGGGGAGATATGTAGTTATTATTAATTGATGTGGTATATCTGTAATTTTGATAGCTAGAAATTTTAGCTTACTTTTTCTTTATTTTAATGGTTAAAGCAATCTGTCTGCCATCACTGTGGTTTACTTAATTTTCTGGTCTTACAAAAGTGTAGTGACTGTTGGGTTTTCTTTATTTTTTCCTACTTAGTCAAGGCTGGAGTTCCTTTTGTTTTAAATCTGGGGATCAAAACACTTTTTGTATAATAAGGAGTCTGGAAGGTGTTGTAAGTTATAATGATTTGTAAACAGTTGTTGAAACTTAAATTTGAGCAGTAAATCAAAATGCTTGCTGTTTTATGAGGTTCTAGGTTCTGATTTGCATTATAAAACCCTTTGTCTGACATTGCCATAATTACATTGATTTCTGTTGTATTTTGTGCTCACCTATATATATTATATTTTTCTTATTATTTATTTTTCCTTGATATGTTCTTGCTTTTATATGGGTTCATTGACTGCTGACCCCAACTAGTTTGGGATAAAGGTGATGTTGATGTTTATGCTTAAATGCAAAGTTGAGTTGACAATGTCCACATTCATGGCTTGGGAGTGATGTTGCAAATTTAGTATGGTATGGAGTGATGTTGCAAAAACATTATTTGCTCAATTATTAGTTCATGAAAGGTTTGGGAGTAGTGACAACTTGTAAAATTCAATTATTTTACTTCTAGATAAAACTATTGTCGTGTTTCTTGCCTAAGGAAAGAATGTGTTGTAATTTTATCGTCCATTGATTTTTTTGGTTAGTTCACAAGATTGGAAGGCAAGACTAAAGATTCCACCAGCTGATACACGCTATAAGACTGAGGTATGGTTCTGAAAAATTGACAACTATTATCTTATGCTCCAAGGATTGGTTGTATGAAATATGCATTGTGTTTTAGACCATGTTTATCAAATCACAATTCGAATCGTGAATTGCCAAGTTAATTTTTGAATCATAATTCATAAATCACATCGAATCATAAGATTCAGAGACAATGAAAAATAGCTTGAAATATATGATATATATGATGTGTTATGCTCAATGTAATAATTTTAAGCTAGGAATTGACAAAACAACTTATCCATGAGTCTCACAAAATAAAATTGAAAGTAATAAGTCATAACTGAGTCTCATAAGTGATTTCATGAAGTCTATGTTTCAGAAGAACAAAAACAAAGCAATGATATAGCCAAATATGGTGCATGTTGAGTGACCTTGGGAATGACTGTGTAAAGCCTCTGTTTTAGGAGTATGAAAAAATAGTGAGTGAGTGACTATGTGAAGCTCGTGTTTCAGATGAATGAAAACATATAATTAAGTGATCAAGAATGGTGCGTTCAGTAACTCTTCTTTAGTTCCTTTTCATTTAACAATTTGAACTTATTTGACTTTTCAATTTCTTTTATAAGAATTGATGAAAAAAGCGGAAAAGAAAAAAATAACGAGTTGTGGAAGCGTGCAATTTGTATCGGTGATATATAACATGATTCAAAGCCCTCTCCAATTCATAACATGATAAGAATGACTAGCTTGCCGAATTAGATTGAATTGTGCTATTGGAATCGCGAATCATCTGATTGTAACAACCATTTTTTCAAGTTTTAGTCATATATTTTGTTTGAGATCCTTGAAGCAGGACACCATATTCCTGATGTTTCCAATTCCTTACTATCTTATTTTCATTTAACTTTACTAGGATAGAGTTGTTATTTTGTAGTTATTATATTAGAATTATTAGTTGGAGTTGATTCTCTACATAGGTTTTAGCTGGCATTTTATTGATTCATGTAAATTTTAGTATCCTATGCTCTATTAGACTTTTGAGATTGCCAATTTTCAGTGATTTAGACAATTAGATTTTAGAATTTAGAGTGCATTAATACTTGCAGGACCATGAACTCTTTCAAGTATTAATACTTTGCTACAAGTCTAGAAAACTGAGAAATGTACTCAGATTCTACTTCTCGCAACCAGTGCAGTGGCATTTAGTTTTGTGGCCTAGGAGGTTTCTTTTTGTTTGATGAAATTGAATTTTTATCCTAAATTAAGTGCTAGATGACAGAGTTTGGTTATATTTCTGCATGATATTTCAAACATCCATTTAGAGGCCGAACAAATGTTTACTGGGTTTGGATTTATGAACTTATATTATTACATTCATGTTGGTCTTGACCTTTATTCATTTTCTTACTCAGGATGTAACAGCAACGAAAGGAAATGAATTTGAGGATTACTTTTTGAAGCGTGAGCTGCTGATGGGAATATATGAGAAGGGTTTTGAGAGGCCTTCTCCTATCCAAGAAGAAAGCATTCCAATTGCTCTTACTGGTAGTGACATTCTTGCTAGGGCCAAAAATGGAACTGGCAAAACAGCTGCATTTTGCATTCCTGCATTGGAAAAAATTGATCAGGATGATAATGTTATTCAAGGTTTGACTTCCTTCACTTACCTTTTGCTTTTATACAAGATACTCAAAAGTCATGTGGAGAGGATTATCTTTATTGATGTCTCAGTTCCGTAAACCTTTCTGGTAGCCTGTTGCCCTGTTGCTTGTTGTCGGCAATATTTCCTTATTAAAACATCAACATCAACTACACCTTTATCCAAAATTAATTGGGGTCGGTGGTAGATGAACCCAAATAAAAGATACAAAAAGGTTGAAAAAAGATAAAAAAATAAAAAATAAAAATAAAAATAGATAAATAAAGTAATAATATATATATATATATATATATATTTAAATATAAAAGTAATAAAAGAAGGGGGAAAGTAGAGGGAGAAATAAAGAGGAAAAAGACAAAAAAGGGACCATCTGGAACATAGGAATAACAATGGGTCTGACCCTCCTCCATGCTTATAGCTCTTCTCCATTCCATTCTAAGGCACATCGTCCGCCAATCTATATCCCACTTTATTAAGTCTTGTTTTACTACCTTCCCCCTAGTAAGTTTCGGTCTACCTCTACCTTTCTTTGTGTTGAGCTCTTGGTAACAGACTTTTGTTCGTACGGGAGCATCCAGGGGCCTTCTCATTACGTGCCCAAACCACCTCAATCTATGTTCTCTCATATTTTCAGCCACTGGTAGTACTCCTACCTTTCGTCAAATATCTTCATTTCTTATCTTATCCATCCTCGTATAACCACACATCCACCTTAACATCCTCATCTCTGCTACTCCCATTTTATGTTCATGTTGCCTATGTGCTGGCCAACATTCAGCTCCATACAGCATTGGAGGCCTTACCCCATTTTATTAAAACATAAAAAAAAAAGAAAAAAAAAGAAAATGGAGTTTGTTATAGGGAAGGTCAAGCTAGTTTAGTAATATCATTTTCTGAGTATTCACAGAAAACAAGCTTGGCTTTGAATATCATCATATTGATTTCTATATCTGTTTTCAGCATTTTATCCAAAAAGATACTAAAGCTTTGAGAGCAATTTGTTCCTGAAAATTCTCTTCATTTTAACTATTAAGTTTTGGAAATTCCCTTAAACAAAAACTGATTTCTAGTAGATTAATTGTTACTTGAAAATTATTTTAGACATGGAAGATCAATGCTGCTAAGAATATTAACATATGATAAGTGCATGCATTATGTGAGGGTACTCTAGTTTATTGTGTATCCTATAATCGCTCCCTGTACATATTATATATAGATCATTGTCTGACACAATTGTGTTATGGCTTACCAAGTCTTTTTCTATTTTGTTGCATAACAAATGCACTGATAGATTTTGGCGCCAAAGTTAATTGAAATTAGGAAAGGATATGTTTGGGTGTATTTTTTATGCATGATTCAATTTTTCTTTATTTACAGTTCTTTCATGTCTAACGTGATTTTGCATATTTTAGGCTTTACTTTTGTTTTGACCATTGCCTCTGTATTTGTTCTGTCATGCAGTTGTTATCCTGGTCCCAACACGAGAATTAGCTTTGCAAACATCTCAAGTGTGTAAAGAGCTCGGAAAACATTTGAAAATTCAAGTTATGGTTACAACAGGTGGTACTAGCCTGAAAGATGATATTATGCGTTTATATCAGCCAGTTCATTTGCTAGTTGGAACTCCAGGAAGAATATTAGATCTTGCAAACAAGGGTGTATGCGTTCTAAAAGATTGCTCTATGCTTGTAATGGACGAGGTAATCATATTTAACCTGAAATTTACTAATTTATATAGCATCTGGTAGAGAAACATCAACTGTTTGATAATGTTGTATATTGAAAGAGATTTGAAAAGATTAGGATAAAAAATGATTGGATGTTGTTGGACAAGTATCATCTGATACCCAGCTGTGTTTCTATGGTTTCTGTCTGATGTGCTTGGGTATGGAATCTGTATCATTATGTTGTCAAGTTGGTAGTGGAAGGCTGGAAGCAATGCCTCAATTTATTGCATCACTGATTTCTGTTGTAAATATTGAGCAGAATGTCTTTTCCTTTGTGTCCGTTGCACATATTCATTCTTTGTCACTTTTAACATTAATGACTCTAATAGTGACAGTTATTTTATCAATCCGAGGCTTTACATAACTTTCTCACTCAGGCTGATAAGCTTCTCTCCCCAGAGTTCCAACCTTCTATAGAGCATCTGATTCAATTTCTTCCTTCAAACCGTCAAATTCTGATGTTTTCAGCTACATTTCCTGTTACCGTAAAGGACTTCAAGGATAGATATCTTCGTAGGTCGTATGTCATTAATCTTATGGATGAGCTAACTCTGAAGGGTATTACACAATTTTATGCATTTGTGGAAGAGAGGCAGAAAGTCCACTGCCTGAATACCCTTTTCTCTAAGGTATAGTTATCAATGTTAAGTTACTCTGGATTTTCTTTGTTTCCCAACTGTGAATCTGATAATAATAATAATGGCTTCTATTCCAGCTGCAAATAAACCAGTCAATCATCTTCTGCAATTCTGTGAATCGGGTTGAACTCCTTGCTAAGAAAATCACAGAACTTGGGTATTCATGTTTCTATATTCATGCAAAGATGTTGCAAGACCACCGTAATAGAGTATTTCATGACTTCCGCAATGGTGCATGCAGGAATTTAGTTTGTACTGGTATGTTGCTGTCATTTTAGCACCCTGATAGATAACTTTTTTGATTAGTAACTTTCTGATCCCTGTTTCCTTTATTTTATTTTAGAATTCAGTTTTGATAGTGAATATATTATGATCTATATTTGTTTAGTTAGTGTAATTAATTGATGCACTGATGATATTTTGAATGATAATGTATGTGATGAATATTTTTTGGAAATGGATCCTCTAATGTTTTGTTTAACATGACATAGTCACGGGGGAATCATAACCATATAAAGGTGAAGCAACGGTAATGATTTTGTAACTACCTATTCCAATATTTTTTCTCTCTCTTTCTTTATCACCATTGATTCATCTTTGTATGATTATGATTCCCTCACATGACCATGTCATGTTAAATAAGACATGAGAGGATCCACTCCCATTTTTTTTTTTTCATATATCTGCCCAATTGCCCACACAATGGGGTCTCATTCTCACCCTTCCCTGGACCCTTATAGCACCTGATTGGCTTTTACTGTCCTAACGATTATAAATTTTCTCCCTTGTATTCAAACAATCACAGATCTTTTCACTAGGGGAATAGACATCCAAGCAGTCAATGTCGTTATTAATTTTGATTTCCCCAAGAACTCAGAAACTTATCTGCACAGGGTATGCTTGATATCTGCTTTCTCCCCTACCTTGTTGAGATGATTCCGGTATGTGTTCTTATGGATGTTCCATTGATATGCAGGTTGGTCGTTCAGGGAGGTTTGGGCACCTTGGTTTAGCAGTGAACTTGATCACTTATGAGGATCGCTTCAATTTGTAAGTATTTCTGTTAGATATGGTTTTAAGGAATACTTTTGGTAAATTTCTGATGTGTTTCCATCTATTTTGTCCAGATATAGAATTGAACAAGAACTTGGCACTGAAATAAAACAAATTCCGCCACACATTGATCAGGGAATATATTGCCGGTGACTGGTGGTAAATAAGGGGTTGTATTCACAACCGTGGTGGATAGCAATGGTGAGTGATAGGAAAAATTCTATATTTATAATGGGCTTTGGAAACAAATTGATCTTCCTCAAGAAAGGAACTGGATGTCAAAATTTCTAGTTATGGAAAGAGTAAATGCTTAGCAACACGTTTCACTTCCTCTTTATTTTTAAAATCTATTTCCATTTCTATAAGAAGAACTAATCCAACATTTTACCAACCAACAAAAATAAATAGCTTAATCAATTGTCTTTTAAAGGGACTTCAATTATTAGGAAAATTTGGCCATATGATAAGGTTTATACTCATTTGAGACTAGTTCTATACAATTGTTTATGCTAAATTCTTTTATTGATTTGTCCATTACTATTCAGTTATGTAGTTGCTGTTGCTGTATCTGATTCCTGTGTATGTATATCTTTTTTACAGGTTGATGTGGCTGTCATTGCAGTTGCTAATGAATGTTCTGCACTATGAAAAATGGGGTATTGTCAGACCCTTTTTGATTGTTTTTTAATTAATTTCTGCATTTATAAGGACCTTCAGAAAGTTGAATACTGGCTTTTAAGTACCAGATAGATGCTGGGTCCAGTTTGGGTTTCCATGGATTACATTTGCAGATGTGTTTGTTACTAACTGATTTTACTCTCTATTTTTCCATTTCGTTGGTAATCCTTGAACTGTTTAGGAATGTGCCTTGATATGAAGATGTCCCTTCCTATCCTATTATGCTATTTGATTTGCCATGTTGGTTCCCTTAAAATTATTATTTTTAGTCAGTTATAGGAATTTTCACATCTAAAAGGGGGTGAACCAGAGCAGTGCTAAAGTTTTCTTTCATGACCAAAAAAGGTCATAGGTTCGAATCCAGGAAACAGCCTCTTTGCATTTATGCAAGGGTAAGGCTGCGTACAAGGATTACCTCCACTCCACGTTCACTAGTCGGGTTTAACGGGGAGTGGTTCTTATAGGAATTTCCACATCTGCTGCTCAAATTATATTACATGGTACTCGGTTATCCTTTTGGCAATTTATTTTTTATATGATCATTGCCAGTTGAAGGGCCTGCCAAGTCATTTTTGCAAATGTTGATTGCGTGAGGGTTAGCCGTAGCAGCAGTGGTTTATTATTAGTAGCTTTCGAAATTCATGGATGTGTTTTGGTACTCCACAAGCAACTTTGGACCTTGGTTATGATGTAGCACATTTCCATTTGTCTAATACTTGAGTTTGTTCACAATTTATTAGTGGCATTGCATATTATGCACGTTTTAATGTTTAGGCATTCCATTTCCTTGTAGGCAAGTTTTGCAAAGTGATATTCTGAAAAAAAATTAATAGAATGGTGTGTAATGTTTCTTTTCATGCAATAAAAATGAGCATCAATCACTCGAAAGTGGATTTGGGTTTAATTGTTGCATTGTTTGAAACATTACTTACAAAACATTCCTCGTAAACAAAAAATTTACTCATCACTTTTCATTTTTCTATATCTGTTTTCTCTCTCCTTTTAATCTTTGTGAGTTCTGTGCTCAGAAATGTTATGCAGTTTTTGAAAACATAGTGATGTTACTTGTCTTGTGCGAATTACCACTTCTGAAGATAAAGCAATGTTACTTAACAAGTTTTGTCATCAAATGTTTGTTGATACTATATTTTAATGAGGTAGGATCTTTTGACACCGGTGTCAAATTTGAAGTTTGACACCTCACCTGAGAGTTGTTAGATCAAAAAAGATCAATGGTATCACACTCTTATAAATCAGAGTCGTTGATTTTTTTTGATCTAACGGTTCTCAGATGAGGTGTCAAACTTCAAATTTGACACCGGTGTCAAAGGATCCTGCCTCTATTTCAATATGTAGTGATTAATACTTGTTTAATTTCTCACTTGAAATCTAAACATTATGTGCACCGTTATTTAAAAACTAATAATATTAAAGGGTACAACTATAATAAGAATTATAATATCGAGTTTCTTTGAAGTCAATTTCTTTGTGATCAGCCCTAAAATTGTGTGTACATACGTGTGCCTAAGGATTTAGAAAAAGAATTATTTTGAATAAAATTTCTTTTTCGATTCCTTTTCTGCTGATTAAGTTTTGTTTGTTTTCAAGGATCCGTTTTGATAAGTTGTTATTTTTTTAGGGTTTTTATTTTATTTTATTTTTCCTTTTTTTTTCCCCACATAGTTGGTACTTGGGTTAGCATGGTTGAGAATGAAACTTTCGATGTCAACATTTCATCGTCTTAAAGATCTTGGTTAATTTTTTCAAAAAAAAAAAAAATGATCTTGGTTAATAAAAAAAAAAAAAACTCAATGTCTACGAAATTTTTTAATCATTCAATTGTGTAATGTTTTCATTGACATGAGATGTAATTATTTTGAGCAACATTGAAACAATTGTCAAAGATTTGGTAAAATTTATATAACAAGAAATAAATAAAATTTTTAAAATATTCTTTGTTAATTGTTGCAACCATCAAAATGTAGTTTTGGAATTATTGAAGATAATTTTATTTAAGTTGATGGAGAGGAAAAAAACTTATTATTGCATCACCAAAAGTGTTAGACCTATTAGGGGCATGTTTATTTTAAATGAAACATATATGACCATCTTAAAAATATTTAGCAAAAGTATGTATTATATTGGATGAATATCAAACATTTATCGGGAAAAAAAAAACATTGCTTTTGATAACGCTATATAACTTGGACTGAAATGTTTGACTACATTTATTACCAGAAGATGAGCATTGCATTGGCACTGTTGTTTTTTTTTTTTTGGTAACATTGGCACTGTTGTTTTGCCTGTGGTTTTGTTTGACCATTCGTTGAATTTCCATCCACCTTTCTGCCACTCACTTACCAGGTCAACAGTACCAAATGTTCAGCTACAAAGCAAAAATTATATATATATATATATATATATATATATATATATTGTTATGAGTATTGTTATAATACTAATCTCGTAAATACTATCATAACTAATACTTACAAGGCTTAAAACAAACCCCTTAGCCATTGAAGCAATTAAGAAATGCTCTTCACGAATATCTTTTCAAAATTTGAATTTTAATCTTTTTCATAAGATTGTGATTTTTTATTTAATTTTTGGTAAATGAAGATTGTGATTTCTTTATCGGAACAATGATTATTTTGTCATGTTTGGACAAAAAAATTATCAGACTGTCACGCCAACAGTAAATTTTGCCAAAATGCAACGCGGCACAGTATATCGAATTTCTCAAAATTTGACATGTGATATTTTTGGTTCTGTGCATTCTGACGTGACATATTTCGCTACACTGTGTAGCGAATTACTTGCATGCATAATTCGCTATATTGTGTAGTGAGTCATGCCGCGTAGCATTTTGGCAAAATTTACTGTTGGCGTGACAGTCTAGTAATTTTTTTGTCCAAACGTGACAAAATGGTAACTATTCCTTCTTTATCATTACATTTAATGTACGTCCAAAACTATTTGCATTTGTAATTTTTTTTATTTGTTAAGGTAAGGCCTAATACCCCGGAACAGTGACCAATTTGTCACTGTTCATCATAAAATTTACCAGAATGCCACGCGCACAGTAAAAAATCCCAAACTGCCACGCAGGGTAATTCGCTACACAGTGCAGCGAATTAGGCCTGATGATGTGTCACGTCCTCCGTGGTCCACGTATTTCGCTACACAGTGTAGCGAAATACGTGGTCAAAAGGTCAGCCCGGTCAGTCACCTTTTGGACACGTGTCACACCCCTGTTGGACACGTAATTCGCTACCCTGTATAGCGAATTATGCAGCAGAAGGGTCAGTTCATGTCAACTCAAAGTCAGGCCACGTGTCACTTCCCCACATAATTCGCTGTACTAGGTAGCGAATTATGTGGTTATTTTTAGCATGACTGGTAGCGAAATATGTAATATCTGCCAAGTGTCATCTCCCCACTAATTCGCTAGGGGGTACAACGAAATTATGATACTTAATTTGCTACCCCCCTAGCGAATTATGAGCTATAAATTACTCCATTTCGGGTATGAACTACCAGTGCCATATTTTTCCTTTTATGTTAAGGTTTACTACTTTTGTGTTGTTGTTGAATCTTAGTTTTTTTTCTATTTTTGTAGGATGAGTGAGCGTATGAATGATTTAATAGCAACTGTTTATTATAATGGAAGAAAATACTTTGGTCGAAACGGGCAAGTGTTTGAAGGTGATGCAAAAATGTTTCGCATGAGCCCAAGATGCAATCTTCACGAGCTGAAGAAGTTAATATACAAGAAGTTAAGATTAGAACGTGGTCAAACTCTTGCTCGGTTGACCGCTAGATGTGCCTCGGGTAACCCGGTGCAATGGGTTGGTGTGGAAATTGTCGACGATGAAGATGTAACGTTAGTAGTAGATGCAAGCACTTCTGAACACGGCGAGTCAAGATTTATTGAATTGTATGCAGAAGTCAACTACGGTGGACAATCCAGCAGTCAACCGAGCAATCCATGCACTGACATCATCGACATAAACATGGTGCCCGAGGTTAATCTGGAAGTTGAGGTCGCGTCCCCAACGCTTGCACCACCAACCCAAGAAATTTTGTATGAAGCGGTTCCAGCCAACGACATGTACGATCCATCTTGGCGTACGGATAGTTCCGAGGAAGAGCGTGATGAAGGTCTTGTTCCAGATAGCGAGTCATCGGATACGGATGTCGATGGCGACTTTGATTGTTGTCCGTCTACTGCAGTTGAACAACCAATTCCATCGCCAGGCATTGTCGGAATGCAAGATCCTCCTGTTGCAGGTACGTAAGGATTAATGCTTTATAATAAAATATCTAATATCAAATATAACGACATTAATATTATATATTGGGTTTTTGGATATCTTATTATGCAGGAAATGATAATGTACCATTTTGGTCTGGAGTAAGCCATTTCACAAATGTTAATTGGGAATATCCAGACCAAGAATTGGATGATATGAATGGAGCACAAATACCTAACTGGAAGATCGGCGACGAGCTATATAAGGACCAAATGTTTGACACTAAGCAAGATCTACAGATGGCAATTAAACAATATTGTATGGCAAATCATCGCACAACAGTCGTTCTGAAAAGTGATACGAAAAGGTTGATTATGGTTTGTCAAAATCATAACGCGGGTTGTCCAATGAGGATGAGAGCATACCAAAAAAAAGGCGGCAGCGAATGGGCGATAGGCATATGGAACAACGAACACACAAGTGTTAGTCAATCTCTTACCCAAGATCACAAGCAGTTAGACTCAAATCTCATTTGTTCATTGATCTTAGGTGCGTACAGTTATTCATATTAAATTTATAAAAACTTTGTCTATTGTTGAATAATACAGTGTTGTTTGACCATATAAACAGAAATGATAAGAGAGGAGCCCAGTGTCAAAATTGGCCTTATCCAAGAAAGGATCGCTACTAGCCTTGGATTCCATATATCGTATAGGAAGGCATGGAAGGCAAAGCAAAAGGCTATTGTGAAAGTTTTTGGTGACTAGGACGAGTCGTATGCGTTCTTACCTAGGTGGCTGGATTACATGTTGCGTTTTTCTCCCGGATCCGCATATAAGCTGGATTTGCGTGACCATTTCATTGATGGATGCCTAGACCAAGCTCACAAGGTTTTCAGAAGGGTGTTTTGGACATTTAAACAGTGTTGTGAAGCATTCAATTATTGCAAGCCAATAATCTTGATCGATGGAACACATCTATATGGCAAATATCGTGGGACCCTAATGATTGCTACAGCTGTTGATGGCAACAATTACATTCTTCCAATTGCATTCGCTATCGTGTCTGCGGAGAATACTGACAACTGGTCATGGTTCTTAGCACTTATTCGAATACATGTTACGCAAAAACACGGAATCTGTCTGATTTCTGATCGACATGCGGGTATCTTGTCTGCAGTCAACAATGCTCATCTAGGATGGTCTCCACCACAGGCATATCATGTGTATTGCCTTCGCCACGTGGCCAGTAATTTCAATCACAAGCTCAAGAATGTCATGTTGAAGAAGCAGTTGAAGAAGTTAGGTATGTTTTCAATTGGTCTGATTCGTTTAATGGACAACAAGTAGTAATGTTTTTTTTGTGCCATGTGTAGGATATACAAATCGCGCTTTGACTTTGATGCTGGTTTAGAGAAATTTAAAGAAACAAGCCCTCAAATAGCTGCTTGGATTGATCGCATCCCGAAAGAGAAGTGGAGCATCTCTTACGATGAACAAGGAAGAAAGTTTGGCCACATGACAACTAATCTGTCAGAGTGTGTTAACAAAGTTTTAAAAGGGGCAAGAAACCTTCCAATTACGTCACTTGTGCGTATAACTTACAGTAGACTGGTGGCATATTTTTTAGAGCACGGACAGGAAGCCCGTGAGGAGCTTGACAAAGGTAATCGCTTCGCCAAAGTCATGTGGCGACTATATGTTGACAATCAAAGTAAAGCTGTGACAAATTACGTAACATCTTATGACGCGCAAAGGACAAGATTTGAAGTGCAAGAGTCGTATAATGTACGGACTCATCGCGAAGGACGAAAATGGTCAGTTTCGTTATCTGACCGTACATGTCAGTGTGGTGAGTTCACTGCTTTCAGGTTCCCGTGTAGCCATGTCATTGCGGCATGTACATCGACGCATCACGATCCCACACTGTACATAGACCCTGCATACAGTGCCAAGAATCAATATGAAATTTATTCGGGTCAATGGTATCCAATTGGTACATAGACCCTGCATACAGCCTAAGGTTGGAAATATCAACATTAAATAATATATCACATTCACTAACCTAAAGTTTCAAGTATCAACACTAAATACTACAACATATTTACTAACCTAAAGTTTCAAGCCTAAACACTAAATAATATAACATATTTACTAACCTAAAGTTTCAAGCCTAAACACTAAATAATATAACATATTTATAAAAAAAAAACATAATTAATGAAACAAACATATTATAAAAGCAATAAAACAAATTACTAACCTTGTAGAGAGAGAATGCACTTAGAGAGAGAGAGAGGGAGTGAGGGAGAGGATGAGAGAAAATGGTGGGGGGGAGGGGGTGGGGACGGAAGGGTTTATATAGGAAAAAATTTGCACCTAATTCGCTACCCAAGGCAGCGAATTAGTGCCATGCTGCCACGTGTCTGACATGCGCAGGGCAGCAGGTGACCGTTGCCACGTATTTCACTACACAGAGTAGCGAAATACGGGTGGCTTGACACGTGTCCAAAAGGTGACTGACAGGGCTGACCTTTTGACCACGTCTTTCGCTACACTGTGTAGCGAAATACGTGGACCACTGAGGACGTGACACATCATCAGGCCTAATTCGCTGCACTGTGTAGCGAATTAGCCTGCGTGGCAGTTTGAGAATTTTTACTGTGCGCGTGACATTCTGGTAAATTTTATGATGAACAGTGACAAATTGGTCACTGTTCCTAATACCCCATCCATAGATTTGGTAAAAGGAATCCTTAGTGGAGCCCTTGATGGCCTCCTGAATCCTGATGGGGCAATTGTATTTGTATTTAAATGTGATGTGACGTGGTTTCTCTTAATAAAATAACAGATTACCAAAATAAATATAATGTATTCTTAATATAGAAAATTTATATTTTTATTAATAATACATTAAATTTTTCTAAATTTATTAAATAATATGACAACAAATATATATTATTCGTAATATATAATATAATTTATAAGAATTTATAAATAAAAAATTTATAAATATAATTTTTTTTATATTATTAATATCTTCAACTTAACCTTTTTAATTTAATTGTGAGACAGACGCATTGATTCTAACTTTTTTTCTTACAAAATTATATATATATATATATATATATATATATATATATTTCTTAAGCAGTTTCAGATATATTTATTTTCGTTCTTCCATAAATTATGTCATTTTATTTATTTATTTTCTTATATTAATTTATTCACTTTTGAATAACTATGATTTCCTTTTTCTCTCTCTTCTTTTAACATCATTGATCAATCTTTGTACGATTATGATTTAGTGATCGGAAATAAAATTATTTTAAATAACTTGAGAAAAGATAAGTCATATATATATATATATATATATATATATATATATATATATATATATATAGAGGCAGGATCCTTTGACACCGGTGTCAAAGGAAAAGTTTGACACCTCATCTAAGAGCCGTTAGATTAAAAAAAATCAATGGTGTCACATGCTTACAAATCAGAATCGTTGATTTTTTTAATCTAACGGCTCTTAGATGAGGTGACAAACTTTTTTTTTGACACCAGTGTCAAAGGATCCTGTCTCATATATATATATATATATATATATATATATATATATATTTTTTATATATATATATTTTTATATATATATATATATATATATATATATATATATATATATATATATATATATATATGGGTCAGGATCATTTTACACCAGTGTAAGTTACACTCTCAATCTTATCCGTTGATTCCATTTATATCTAACGGCTAATTTTTTTTAGTAATGTGAGCCATTGAATACAAGTGGATCAATGGTCAAGATTGAGTGTAAGACTTCTAACTCTTACACCGGTGTATATTTCAATCACCAATCTATTTAAATTCGCATGATGCTTATTCCTTAAGCTTCACTGACTAATTTGAAAATGGTTTAATTTTAAGGAATGAATTATAACTTTGAATCAAGAACAAAATTGTGAATATGTAATTTTATTATTCTATTTCTAATTAAGAAAATAAAAAAAAATGGTCTTTGTTGCTCTTGTTTGCCATAATGAAGAAAGAGAACTTTCGTGTCTTGTAGTATTCATTTTCTGGTGCATTCGTACTCTGCATGTCATTTATTGCACCCTTCATTTAATGTTCACGTCCTTCCCTTTAAGTGTTTGTGTTGGTTTTTGATCCTTCACTGACTTTTCTAGAACAGAATCCACCATTAATGCATTCCATTTTTCTTACTGCCTCTGCCATTAATGCTGCCACTATCATCTGGACATCAATCTACTTCCCTCGTCCCAGTTCCGTGCAAAATGAAAACCCAAAAAAATGCAAAATGTACAATATTTCTAATATTATAAAAAAATAAATTTATTTTTTATATATATATAAAAATATAATGCTGGGAGTCTCATGTTGATTGTGTAGATAATTAATGTAAAATTTATAAAATTTTGGATACTCTCATTCTTTGAGTTAGTTTCTTAGGCAATGACTTCAAGATTTGTAATATTTAATGCTTTCATTGAAAGTCAAACTGCGAAAAGGGCTACTTATAGGTGGATGAAGCCATCCAAAGAAGAAAAGGGCTACTACCACCGGGTCAAGCTGAAACTCAGTCGTGCACGTCAACCTTAAAGGGAGTGGCAATATTAATAGTCTTATATTGATTGTGAAGGCAATTAATGTGTAATTTATAAGATTTTGAATACTCTAATCTTTTGAGCTAATTTTTAAAATAATGACCTCAAGATTCTTAACATTTAGTATGTACGGAGCCAATGTGGATCACTGTAAAGGGATAAAAAAGAAAAAAAAAATATAAGACTCACATATTTTTATATTAATTAATCCCTTAATTTAAAATGTCTTTAATGAGAGTGGATCCTCTTATATAGAAAAGTGGTCATGTGATCATATTATTTGATCACAACCACTCATTGATAATGAGATAAGAGAGAAAAAAATATATAATTTTTAAATAAGTGATTATGATCAAATAACATGACCACATGATCACTTTTTCACGTGAGAGAGAGGATCCACTCCGGTCTTTCATTGTTTGTGCAATTTATTTCTTTCAATGATGATGCAACTTTGTCAATGCTACAGAAAATGCATTTATTGCAAATGCCAGCTTGAAACATGCTGATAATCCTTGCAAGCCCCATCCAGTAATAATGCCACCTCAAATATCCACTTTTTATTTTATTTTATTTATATCATCTATGCCCTTTCCTATTTATGCTCTTGTTACTTTGAGGCTTCAAGTGTCTGGAGGGGGTGTTTCTCTACTGTTAAGAAATTTAGAAAGGAATTGTCTAAAGGTGTGGTGTACTTTTAAAGGGAATTCTACATTGTTTCTTGTAACTTTTACTTTGTTAATGTGTTGTGGTTGGTGTTGTTGAGAGTTGGTGAAAGAATGGGAAGGACACCATGTTGTGACAAGAAGGGTTTGAAGAAAGGACCATGGACAGCTGAAGAGGATGAAATTCTTTCTAATTATATCAAGAAGAATGGTGGTCATGGAAGCTGGCGTTCTCTCCCCAAGATGACAGGTTTTTTATCCTTTTGTCTTATCTCTTTTGGTGGTGTACTTAGTTTAGTAATTGTTTGTTAAGAACTTAATAAAATATACTTTAACAATCACTTTTCTTGAATAGCATTTTTTTTTTAGGTTCTAAACATATTAGCTATAGCACTCTCTTAACTTTTCTTTGAGAAATCAGCCTTAATCCTTGTTTCCAAGTGACTTGGATGATTATTGTGTCCCTTTAATGATGGTTGCATATTTTGACCACTGAGCTATTAGAAGTTCCTATATTTGCTAACATGAACACATAATATACCAATTTCACAACTCTTGAACAAGTGAAGCTCTGCTCTTCCTTTTCAAGTTCTTAAAAAGTTAAAAGGCAGGTATATGAAAAGGAAAGTAATTTGGAGTAGAAGACAAATTTAATGAGGAACTTGGAGCATTATATTATTTATACATTACCATTTTTCTTTTTAGTGTTAGGCTATGATTTTCTATACTTATCATTGTCAAACAAACAAAAGAATACTAGATGATTTATTCTGTTTTTCAACTTGATATACATGACCTTCATGTTTCCATAGATTATGAGATTATTTTTCTCTTTCAGGTCTTCTTCGTTGTGGTAAGAGTTGCAGGCTTAGGTGGACGAACTATCTCAGACCTGACATCAAACGCGGTCCCTTCACTCTTGAGGAAGAAAAACTAGTTATACAGCTTCATGGCATCCTTGGAAATAGGTAAACAATTGAAAATTGTCTTGTGCTCCTCAAATCCATGATATTCAGAATTCCCTATATATCCATAGAAACAGTATGCAACAAATGGTGAAAATATTTATCTAAGCTTATTAAGTTTTTTTTTTTGTTTTCCTCTCAAAGTTTCTTATTTTATTTTTATTTTTTAATTATCCATCGATTCATCTATTACTCGATTAGTTTGATTTGTCCTGGTTAGGACTACATGTGCGGCAAAACTCTCCTTACCAAATTTTAACATTGAAAGTTATCTTTGTCAAATTTTAAAGCAGTTGCTTTCTTAGGGGTTTGAACTTGAGACACTGGTTAACCTGAAAACCCTAAGTTTCCTACTTTCCTGATTTCACAAGGTCCTCTCTTTTTGTAACTGTGAAAAGACCTTTTAGATGTCTCATTATCATCATTATAATACTTTATAATAAAATGTAGATTGTTGAGTATATTATTCTCAATAGTATATAAGAATTTCTCCCTTGTTTGGTGAATATTCTTATTATGATTGCATTTATAACTAGAAGTTTTCAACAAATTTAACAATTCTCAGGTGGGCTGCAATTGCTTCTCAGTTACCAGGAAGAACAGACAATGAGATAAAGAACTTATGGAACACACACTTGAAGAAGCGTCTCAAAAGCATGGGGCTTGACCCCAAAACTCATGAGCCAGTTATCTCATCTTGTTACCCTATTGACAAGGCACATGCATCTGTTTCCACACGTCACATGACTCAGTGGGAGAGTGCTAGGCTTGAAGCAGAAGCTAGACTCTCAAGTGAGTCATCAAGGTTCAACAACAACAACCCTTCTTCCTTTTGCAAAACTGATTCTGATTACTTCCTCCGAATTTGGAACTCTGAAGTTGGTGAGGCATTTCGAAACGTTTACAAATCAGATAACAAAACTAGTTGCTGTCAGAGTCCAGTTTCTGCTGGATCATCTTCCAACAAATGTGAGTCAGTTTCTGCTGTCACAGCAGAGTTGGTTTCCAACCCATTAGGATCCTCAAACGTAGAAAGCAATGTGAAAGAAGAGTTGGAGTGGAGGAGCTCCAAGTCATGTGCTAATGGTGTGATTCATGGGTCTGATTCATCAAGCTCTAATGACTTAGAGGACTCTTCAGACACTGCTTTGCAGCTCTTGTTAGATTTTCCTATAAACAATGACATGAGCTTCTTGGAAGAAAACTCTTTTGTTTGTCCCCTTTAGTTCATGTGCATGTGCATGTTTGATTTTTTGTGTCATGTAGCTTTTGGTTTGGTGTTTTGTAGTATTTTCTATCACTTTGTAATTGGCTGAATATAGTGGTTATTCAGCATTGGTGACATCACATGGAGGATGTTTTATAGTTTAAGTCTTATTAGGAATAGTAAATGTGAATTACACTTATTGACTTCGATTATGTTTTGGATATGTTTATGAAATTTCGGTTCTCAGTATTATCTTTGGTCATCTATTTTTTACATTTTAATAAATTTTCTTCTTAGTTTAGTTCTTTGGTTATATATATTTGATAGTTGCATCTCAGACTTGCTCCTTGACAATGGTTCATGCTCTAAGAATTGGGCTTTTGACTCATTTATTTGAAAATGGAAACATTTTTTCTCGAAATATTCGAAAGTTAAATATTTTGTCAAAATAACATAGCCCTTGATAAAGGAATGTGCGACTTGTGTAGCACATATCTTTTATGTGTGTTTCGTTGCATTATTTTTGCAAAATATATGAATTTTGAACAAGAAAAAAATGTTTCCCTCCCTAAGAATTTCATGATTCTTGATATTAGAGAATAGCTAGCTTATTGTAGCTTTCTGTTTTAGTTTACTATGCATCAGCTTAGTAGCTGATCATTGCTTTCTGTTAAAGCTTACTGTGCATCAGCGTAGTAGCTGATCACACCCTTGTATTAATTGGTTAATCAGCTCCTAATTCTAAGGAGTTAGTTAGATAGCTCACAACCACCTAGCTCATTGTATTAGGCTTAATCTGAAGGTCTATATAGTGACCTCGGTGTACATTCACAGTTAGTTTTTCATATCAATAATATTTAGTTTCTCTTTCTCTCTCTCTCTAGTTCATCTTACTTTCGTTTATGGTATCAGAGCTCCAATCTTGGGGCCCTGATCCATTTCTTACTCTCATCCATGGCTTCCGCTACACAAAGTTCTAATGATACTAGTTCTTCAGCTACACAAAATCCTTCGGGAGACTCCAAATCATCTATACTATTCAATACTCAAATGTCAGTAAAGCTATCCAGCAAAAATTTCCTCCTCTGGAAGCAAATCGTTGAACCTCCCATATTATAGCACATCAACTTGAACGTTTCTTGGTTAATCCAAGAATTCCTGTGAAGTTTCTATCAGAAGAAGACAGAATCGTTGAAAAAGTAAATCCAGAGTTCATCGAGTGGGAGAAAACGGATAAGATGCTTCTCACATGGATGCAATCTACGCTATCTGAAGAAATCATCAACAAAATCCTTGGTGTACGTCAGTCTCATCAAGCCTGGGACAAGATCCACAGGTATTTCGAATCTGTAACCAAAGCAAAAGCCAACCAAGTTAGTTCTGAATTACATAATATCAAGAAGGATGACAAAACTATCGAAGAGTATATAGCACGAGTCAAAGCACTTGGTGATGTCTTACTGGCCATAGGAGAACCACTCTCTGAACGTGAACTTGTACGCACTGTACTCGAAGGCTTACCTGAGGACTATGGTTCGTTCATTACCTACTTCAAAGGAAGAGAATCCAGCACGTTTGATGATCTCGAAACACAGCTTCTAGCTCAAGAAGCGATGCTTGCAAAGTTCAACTCCAGCTCTTTGAGTCTCAACTCCGTCAACGTAGCTCACAGTGCACCTCTGTTAGCCCCTGTTTCAGGCGTTCAAGAACAGGGGAATCACAGACGACCTGAAACACTGCAACAAGGATCTTTTGGTCAAGGAATCAATGCAGGAGGATACTTTCCTCCATTCCGCGGTGGTTGGCGCGGTGGTCGTGGCCGGTATCGTGGTGGCAGAGGTGGTGGAAGGTTCACCGTCTCGTGTCAACTTTGCCGGAAACCAGGCCACGAAGCGGCTAACTGCTGGTGGAGATACAATTCCAACTTCACACCTCCACAACAAACTCAATCACGGTTTCCGAGCACCATAGTACCACACACGAACTTTCCGGTGACAGCAAATCTCACTCTCTCTCAGATTCCAGCTCATCACAACAACTGGAATTCCTTCAACTCTGCTTCTGGTTCCCAATTCGTGAACTCAGCAGCACCATCTTCTCATACACCACCTCATTATACTGGATTCTCATCACAATCTGGAGCAACACGAGCACTTTCTACTTCCACCCATGGCCAGTTAGCCCTTGACTGGTATCCTGATTCAGGAGCATCACATCATGTCACTGCAGAACCTGCCAACTTGTTGCAATATCAACAGTATATTGGTCCTGATCAGGTCTTTGTTGGGAACGGCCAAGGTTTACCTATTAACTCTGTTGGTTCAACTACATTTACTTCACCAGTTAATTCACACACTCTCTTACACTTACATAATCTTCTTCTTGTTCCCAAAATAACAAAGAACCTCATTAGTGTCGGTCACTTTGCCAAGGACAATCATGTATTTTTTGAATTTCATCCTACTCACTGTTTTGTTAAATCACAGGAGACTCAGGAGGTCTTGCTTGAAGGATCTCTTGGTCAAGATGGTCTCTATAAGTTCCAAGGACTTCGAGCACATACTTCAACCCCTCTGCCCAAGTCTCTTATCTGCAATTCTTTGTCCAGTTCATTGTCCAATACTATGTCTTGTAATACACAACTTTCTTCTTGTAATTCTGTATCAAAAAATAGTCCATGTAATAGTTACAATCTCCACTCTGATGTATCAAGGAGCACTTCTTCATATAGCCTATGGCATTGTAGGTTAGGACACCCTCATTTTGAGGCTGTGAAAAATGCACTTACACAATGTAATATCCCGTTTCATAATAAAAGTACATCTGATTTCTGTTCTGCTTGTTGTATTGGGAAATCTCATCGTTTACCTTCCTTTCCTTCATCAACTGATTATCTAGTACCCTTTACCCTTATATACAGTGACTTGTGGGGACCAGCCCCCATTCAATCATCACAGGGCTTTTTCTATTACATCACATTTGTTGATGTCACCACAAGGTTCACTTGGATATATCCTCTCAAGAAAAAGTCAGAAGCCTTAAACACTTTCAAACATTTTCACACATTTGTACAAACTCAATTTCAACACACCATTAAATCTGTTCAATCTGATTGGGGAGGTGAATTTAGACCCTTCACCAAATTTCTTTCTGAATTAGGTGTTATTCATCGATTAATTTGTCCTCACACTCACCATCAAAATGGTTTGGTTGAGCGCAAACATAGGCAGATAGTTGACATGGGCTTAATCATTTTAGCTCATGCCACTCTTCCTTTGAAATATTGGGATCATGCCTTTGTCACTGCTATCTACCTCATTAATAGGCTTCCTACCTCTTCTTTACATTTCAAAGTTCCTTACATAGAACTTTACAAAACACAACCTAACTATCCTTTCCTGCGTACCTTTGGATGTGCTTGTTTCCCTTTACTCAGACCATATAACAAAAACAAACTAGATTTCAGATCTCAAGAGTGTGTTTTCTTGGGGTACTCACCCAGCCACAAAGGTTATAAGTGCCTCAGTTCTGAAGGCAGAATCTACATCTCTAAGGATGTCATTTTTAATGAATTTCGTTTTCCATATTCCACTATTTTCCATACCACACCTTTAACTCCATCTACCACCTCCTTTTACTCTAGCACAATTATTCCCTGGTCTTTACCACAATCTAATCTTGCTGTACCTTCTCCTATTGCTTCTGATTCTGCCTCCAGTCATAATTCCTTCACCAATAATACTCCCACTTCTTCTTCCAGTCCTAACTCTACAAATTCCAGTGCTCCTGATACATCTCCAGTTGAGATTCACACTTTACCACATCCAGCTTCTCCATCTTCATCTCACTCCTCACCCTTGGCAACTCAGTCTCTTTCTCACACCTCCACTACTCCAAGTTCTCAAAATACTTCCTACACACACACACACCATCCACTGGTCATTCACAACACACTCCTTTCCCTTCCTCATCCTCCTCCCCACCATCTTCTGGTTCTGAGTATTTACCTTCAGCACCACTAGGCACTTGTTCATCTCCACACAGCATTATTACTCGTTCCAAAGGTCCTGTCCCTGAAATTCTGACCATCAACACTGAACCAACCAGCGCTAAACAAGCCTTGGCTGATCCCAAATGGGCACAAGCAATGCAACAAGAGTATGATGCACTCATTGCTACTGGAACTTGGCAATTAGTTTCCCTGCCAGCCACTCGAAAACCCATTGGTTGCAAGTGGGTTTTTCGAATCAAAGAGAATCCTGATGGCACAATCAATAAGTACAAGGCTAGGCTTGTTGCCAAGGGCTTTCATCAACAGCTTGGCTTTGATTACAATGAGACTTTTTCACCGGTTGTGAAGCCCATTACAGTCAGAATCATCCTCACTTTGGCTTTGTCTTATGGCTGGCCTCTTAAACAACTTGATGTCAATAATACCTTTCTTAATGGAGAGCTCATTGAAGAAGTATACATACATGTCTCCACCTCCAGGCTTTGAGGTTTCTGACAAATCTCTAGTTTGTAAGCTTACCAAGGCTCTTTATGGCCTAAAGCAGGCTCCAAGGGCCTGGTTTGAAAAATTTGCATCATCTCTTCATGATCTTGGATTTGTTTCTAGCAAATGTGATCCCTCTCTCTTTCTTCTTCGATCCAAAGGCATCTGCATCTATGTTATAGTCTATGTAGATGACATTATAATCACAGGGAATAATTCTGACTTCATTCAACAGCTTACCAACCAGCTTAACTCCAAATTTGCTTTGAAACAACTTGGCAATCTGGATTATTTTCTTGGCATTGAAGTGAAATCCCTCTCTGATGGCAGACTAATGTTATGCCAATCAAAATATATTAGAGATCTTCTCCACAAAGCTGGAATGGCTGAAGCTAAGGGCATCTCCTCTCCTATGCCAAGTGGCTGCAAGTTAAGTAAACATGGTTCCAACTACATCTCTGATCCTTCTCTTTACAGATCTGTTGTAGGAGCACTCCAATATGTTACTCTCACCAGGCCAGAAATTGCCTTTAGTGTCAACAAAGTCTGCCAATTCTTATCTCAACCTCTTGAAGAGCATTGGAAAATTGTCAAACGCATTCTGCGTTACCTTAAAGGCACCTTCACATATGGCCTTCTGTTTCATCCTTCTTCACTGCAGCAGCCACTGTCTCTTGTAGCTTTTTGTGATGCTGACTGGGGATCTGATCCAGATGATAGAAGATCCACTTCTGGTGCGTGTGTTCTTCTTGGGTCAAATCCTATATCTTGGTGGGCTAAGAAACAATCATTGGTGGCTCGCTCAAGTGCTGAGGCTGAGTACAGAAGCCTTGCACATACTGCAGCTGAGATTTTATGGGTACAATCCCTATTGCAGGAACTCCACATTCCCTTCAAAGTTCCAATTATTTACTGTGATAATCAGAGCACAGTTGCTCTTGCTCACAATCCGGTTCTCCATTCTAGAACCAAGCATATGGAACTTGATCTCTTCTTTGTCAGGGAAAAGGTTTTGGCCAAGTCCCTAGTGGTTCATCACATTCCTGCTGTTTTACAAGTAGCTGACACTTTTACCAAGCCTCTTTCTGCCTCAAGGTTTGCAGAACTCAGAGACAAACTCAAGGTGTTTGATTACACATTGTTACTCAAACCTCCTTGAGCTTGAAGGGGGAATATTAGAGAATAGCTAGCTTACTGTAGCTTTCTGTTTTAGTTTACTATGCATCAGCTTAGTAGCTGATCGTTGCTTTCTGTTAAAGCTTAGTGTGCATCAGCGTAGTAGCTGATCACACCCTTGTATTAATTGGTTAATCAGCTCCTGATTCTAAGGAGTTAGTTAGATAGCTCACAACCACCTAGCTCATTGTATTAGGCTTAATCTGAAGGTCTATATAGTGACCTCGGTGTACATTCACAGTTAGTTTTTCATATCAATAATATTCAGTTTCTCTCGCTCTCTCTCTCTCTCTAGTTCATCTTACTTTCGTTTACTTGACAAGTTTTTTTTATAAATATTCACATTTTATGTTTACCCAATTTTAATTTTGAAAGCTAACTAGTGTCCTACAGTCTCCAAACTACCAGACTTTGTGCCAAGGCTGTTTCAGGATTTCAGCCATAGTCCAGGGGTCATGATTCTCTTTCTGTGACCCTTTGAACTCATTCAATTTTTGTTTATATTAAAATAAGATTTTTGATACAAACAAACTAAATATAGTTTTTGCAAGTTCCTTTCTTTTTCCTATGCATTCTTGAAGCATTACACTTCTTAGAAGTATATGTTTTTAAGGAATTATGACTTATTAAAACTGACCCTCACTCTCTGTCAAGGTATTGTATGAATGTCTTATGTAGCATTAAGCACACAACAAAACTGACACCCTATTATGTCTTTATCTTTAGGTTAAGTTTGGTAATACCCTTCTTATTTTATCTGAAAGTTAGGTATACCTTTCAAAAACAGCTTTTCATACAAAATTAATTCATGAAATTTTAGCCCTCCTTTTAAAGGTGTGGTGTGAGACTTTTATTTTTCATTTTTAATTCTAGGTAGTGTAGAGGCTGCAATAGCACTAAGAAGAGTTGAAATAAGAGAAACTCAATTACTTGATATTAGAAAGTTCTGCAGTGAAAATACCACCATAGAACACTTCATCCAAGCGAGTGATCTAAAAGAAGCATTTACAAGTTTTAATTTTCTCTTTTGACTATATATATATATATATATATATATATATATATATATATATATATATCACCCTACCCTCTCAATGAAGTGGTTTTTTTTTTGGACTAGATATATATATTTTTGCACTCAAACAACATTGAGAACAAAATAAGAGAAAATACTGACAAAACTTCCAATTACTAGTTATTTAGACATCAGACTCAAAAAGCAAAAAAATCTCAAAAGCATCCAACAGATTTCTTTGGAACAGTTCCGGTTGCACGGTATTTTGCAGCCATTTCCTCTGCCTTAAGATGCTCTTCACCACGCTTGGCTTCAGCCACTGCCCTCTTCTCCTCTGCTTGCTTGTGAAGTAAGGCAATCTTGTTTTTCATTTTTTCAACATATCCTGCTTTCTTTTTCTCCAGTTTTTCCTGCTCACACAAGAGAGGTTGTTAAAAGTTGTATGCAGCAACACTCATATAAGTACTTGCATGTTGTTCATTTGGATCTTACTTCGTTCACTCTACATGTCACAGTAAAATATGTTCTCAAACTACTTCATTATAATATCATGCATCATATAATATCAAAGTTTATTATATCCTTTGATATTTAAAAAGGATGCACTTCTTTGTGTCCTTTGCCAAATGCATCATGTTAGTAGCATGTAGCATGCATTTAGAAAAGAAATGTCATGATGATAATAAATAATAGCTGAAAAACAGGTTAAGTATTACCTCAATTTTTTTCAGCTCAAGTTCAAGAGCTACCTTCTTTTTCTCTTCCCAAGCAGCAACAGCAGAGAGATGTTTTTGAGCTCTATTAACACATCAAATAATTTATTTAGGTTCCCAATCATTTGCAGCACATATAGTCACAAGTTATGATATGCAGATAAAGCCTCATGCACTAGAAATGGCATATTATTATTATTATTATCATATTCATCATCATGGCATAAGATCACAAACTCACAATATCTTGCAGGCTGCTGAGATTTCATCTAATCCAGAAGCATATGAACTAATGAAGGGTTGGGAGGATTATTGTGTCATGCAACAGTACCAACACTATAAAGTTCCTATTTCATAGATTTTCTATTATCTAGTGAGAATTGTTTGAGCAATGTGACTTGGTTTTAACTTTCATAACTGCAAACAGTAAAAGTACATAAAATTTAGTCTTACCTGTTTTCTGCTTTGGTTTTTTCATTTTCTTCCCATGCCTTAACATAAGAATTCTTTTTCTCTTTCTCTAATTCTGCCAGAGCGATATCTGTAGACAACAGAAGTACATATAGGTCAATTGCATAGGAAGACATATACTATCTAGAAAAAGTGATTGGTTAACCAGCATCTGCAGACAGGAATTTTATAGAGAGATAACAATAGTGTTAAAACTAGTAGATATTCATGTTACACAACCTCTGTGCAATTATACAAGGGAAAGACTGCGTACAAGGATTGTCTCCATCCCACACTCGTTAGTCGGATTTAACGGGGAGCGGTTTTTTTTTTTTTATGTTACATAGGAAGAGACAAAAATGTTTCGGCTTGAAATCCATTTATATATTTGCAATGTGAAAAGAAACCTGACAGGATAGTTGTGAATCTACTAATTGAAGTGGTTATGAAATGAATTAAGAGCTCCCAATATTAAATGCATATACTATTTGAAGAAGATAAAAAATTCAAATAACCAAAGAATATATAAGTTAAAGACAATGCAAACTGAAATACGAGAACAGTCAATACTAACCCCTATCAAGGGATCCTCTTGAGCTTAGTTTGTTAGCAGGAACTGGTGTCGCTGCAGTCCAAAGAAAAACAATGAAAATTGGTGAAAGTTAACAAATGATTTGAAAGGAAACTACATCAAACGGAGAATTATGGATATCATATTGATATCAACTTAGTAGAAGAAGAGTTTATGCAAGCTGTTTAATTACTAAACCTTTACATCTAAATATCAAGTAAGAGCTCTTTAAACATTGAAATTATCAACGGTAATACAAACATGATCAACTGAAATATTGCAATTCACAAAAAGAAAATAAACATCCCATATTTAAAGCATATGAATATATGCTGTAAAAATACGTGGTTATTGATGCAAAATTATATGGAAAGTAGGCTTTCAGGAAAATGCAGAAGTTTTCTGCTATATTATCATTCTTCAATCATCAAAAGTCTGCCCTTCACATCCTTCTACAAAGCCTTTTTAATCAGGCAATACATAACGTAAACAACAATAAAGGACTATCAATGATATTAAAACTGACACAAAACAGAAATAAAACTGACTCAAAACAGACATAATCATAAACCAAACATAAAGTCATGCAAACTGAAACGTCTGCAATTATTGAAATTCATAAAAGGCCTTAAAACCCCTCTAAATGACAATTATGATGACTTATGGTGACTCAAGTGCATCATCCTCCCCTACCACGAGAAGATTCGTCCTCGAATCTGCATTGTCTTCATCTGCCATGTCACCTTCATCTTCGGCACAGTATGGGGATAAATCTGCAACATTAAAAGTGCCAGCCACATTATACTGCCCTGGTAACTCAACCTTATATGCATTGTCATTGATTTTCTCAAGGATTCTAAAAGGACCATCAGCTCGGGGTTGCAACTTGCCAGAGCGTTTAGCAGGAAAACGTTCTTTGCGCAAGTGAATCCATACTAGATCTCCTTCCTTGAAGATCTGTTGCTTCCTATGCTTGTCTACCCGTTGCTTGTATTTCTCATTCTGTTTCTGAATTTGACTGTGAACTTGAGAGTGGAGTTCCTTGATGTGCTTAGCATGTTCCTCTGCATCGGAGCTAAAATATTTCTGAATTGGCAAAGGTGATAGTTCTACTGGTGTAATTGGAGCACGCCCATAGACAATCTCAAAAGGACTCTTGCCAGTAGTGCGGTGCTGGGATCTGTTGTAGGCAAATTCTGCCTTGGACAGCATAGAATTCTTCGCCTCCTTCCTCCAATCTGAAGGTGCTAGTGTAATAAGGTGGCCATCCTTCTTAAAGGTGTAAGTATTTTTGAAACTATCATGTTTTGTCTTCCTATCAAACTGCCATGGCCTGCCTAATAAAATGTGACAAGCATCCATAGGAATGACATCGCACCATACTTCATCTGAATATCTTTTCCCAATTGAAAAACACACTAGGCATCTTTTGGTTACTTTCACCTCATTCCCTTTTTTTAGCCAAGACAGCTTGTACGGTTGTGGGTGTTCTTCTGTTTTCAGCCCCAATTTTTCTACCATAGTGGTAGAAACCACGTTTTCACAACTCCCTCCGTCTATAATCACACTGCATACTTTTCCCCTGCTGGTGCACTTGGTGTGGAAAATATTGTGTCGAAGCCATGTTTCATCATTCACCATATCCACATTCAAGACCCTCCGAACGACTAGTGATTCTCCGGTATCAGCATAGACAATCCCCACCTCTTCAGATTCTGCTTCTTCTTGTTCATCGACATTGTCATAGATTGGTTCTTCATAAAAAATTGGAGCCTCTGCAAATGTCACAATCTGTTTATTTGGACAATCTGCAGCAAAATGTCCAATTCCTTGGCACTTGAAACACCTCTTTCCTGTATTACCTCCTTTGATCGACCCTTCCTTGTTGGGAATATTTTTTTGAGGCATAGAACTCCTTCCAGCAGGTGAAGTTGCTGAAGAACTCACTGATTTAGCTCCGAATTCTTTTCTAGGAAATCTTGATTGAAACTTCGAACGGTCACCCTTTGTTTTACATTGTCCTTCCACCTTCAAGGACAGTTTGCACACATCTTCATAAGACCAATACTGTTGTAAGTACACAACATCAGAAATTTCATCCCGTAATCCACCTAGATATCGAGCAATCACTTGTTCATCTTCTTCGACCATGTCACAACGCATTCGAAGACGATCAAATTCAGTGGTGTATTGTTCCACTGTAAGGTCACGTTGCCTGAAATTGTGATACTCAATAAAGGCTTCTTGTCTGTATTGAGCGGGCAAAAATTTGTGCTGCAACAATTTCTTCATCTTGTCCCATCTTTGAATCTTAGACTTTCCATCTCTGATTCTTTGTTTCTTGACATGTTCCCACCAGATTGAGGCATGCTTCCTCAATTTGATTGCCACTAATTTCACCTTTTGCTCATCTGTGAGGTTTTTTAAATCAAAAACCCTCTCAACGGTGTGTAACCAGTCGATGAATACGTCAGGGTGAGTTGATCCCTCAAATTCTGGAATCTCGATCTTCATCCCAAAATTGGAAGTGAAGGGTTGATCACCGGTTCGACCTCTCCTTGGTATTTCGCGGTTCCAAAATGGATTTTCGTCCTCCTCTTCCTCTGGAGATGACAGTTCAGATTCTTGTCTCCCTTCTGACCCGTGCAACTGGGCCTCTGCAAGCAGTTGTTCGAGTTCTTGGATCCGTCTGTCCTTTTCCTCAATTTCAGCATCTCTCACATCAGTATAATAATCGTCATCGGTAGGTTGACCGCGTCCTCTGCCGCCACGACCTCTTCGTCCACGACCACGACCACGACCTCCGCGATTTTCCTGCTCAGCCATCTTTAAGGCAACCTGAGCTCTGATACCAAATGATGCAAAATTATATGGAAAGTAGGCTTTCAGGAAAATGCAGAAGTTTTCTGCTATATTATCATTCTTCAATCATCAAAAGTCTGCCCTTCACATCCTTCTACAAAGCCTTTTTAATCAGGCAATACATAACGTAAACAACAATAAAGGACTATCAATGATATTAAAACTGACACAAAACAGAAATAAAACTGACTCAAAACAGACATAATCATAAACCAAACATAAAGTCATGCAAACTGAAACGTCTGCAATTATTAAAATTCATAAAAGGCCTTAAAACCCCTCGAAATGACAATTATGATGACTTATGGTGACTCAAGTGCATCAGTTATATCATTGATTCAGTAAAATTATCATAAGTCTCATGTACAAGAATATTAAAACATGGAAAATTATATATTTCCATCAAATTGACTCTACTTTATGCGTCTCAGATAACTTAGAGAAGGTAAATGAACGGAGGAGGCAAAGAGCTGCATTAGTGCCATGCAAAGCCATTGTCTCCATCTATATGTAACTAAGCAACACAGTGAAATTCAAGCATGACTCACATTTATTGATTGTCAAACCAAACTTACTCAACAACAATACATATTAAACGATGCACATATCATTCAAAACCTATAGATACTGATATTTTAATTCCATTTATATCTAACTGTTATAACTTATTAGTTACCTGAGTTATTTGATACACGCAATGTAAGATTCTTTGTCTTAACACGTGTGTGAGTTGATGTTGCCCCATAAATATTATTCGAGAAACTATTAAATCACTAATATCTACCACTGAACTTAAATCAAATAGCCAATATATCATTCACATTTCTCTAATTCACTAACCATGATTTTTATGTTATATCCCTAACCATGTTGAAAAGATTCTATCACATGGTTATCAGTGGCCGAGCCGGGCTCCAATTTGAGTCCGAGTCAAAAAAATTATATGTGTATTTATTTTTCTTAATTTTAGTTAGTTCATACCATAATATATTTAAATTATATTAAATACAAAGTACCTGATCAGGCAGCATTAAGAAGAGTTATAATTTTATAAATATTTTTTAATTTTACTAAAAATATTTTTTTTTTATACAAGTGAAAATTGAACACATAACCTAATACAACTTACCCAAATCTTTCATCACCAAAAACATTTCAAGTTTTAGATAGGGCCAAATTACAAATTGTAACCCGGGCCAAATTATAATTAAGGGAAAAGTATTTCTTCAGTCACTGGAGATAAAGTTATCTCCAATGAGCTCAAAACGACGTCGTTTTGGGATTATAAGATTAAAAAATTATAATGATAAAGACTAATATAATCCTACAATATCTTAGAATTACAAAAACACCTTAATTTCCGCCCCAAAACGACGTCGTTTTGGATTCACCGGAGATAACTTATATGAAATCTTTTACCCTATAATTAATTATATAATTATGGGAAATTATACTCTATGTTACCTGAGATTCATCTCTCATGTTACACTCACATAAAAAAATGTGCCTCTATTTTTTTTTTTAAATTGATGGGCTCCATTTTATTTGTCACGTAAGATAATTTATCTTCTATTACGTAGAGAAATAAAATCCTATTATTATCAAATCCTATAATTATATATAATAATTACAATATGTAAAAATTTAACCCACGCTTGGCGTTATATTATATCTCTACCAATAACCAAGACCGCACTAAAACCAGATTTTGATGAAAACCCACGAATTCTTTTCCCTGAAAAACAATCATCACATAAAACACCAAAAAAGAACGCATGAAAACAAGAACATGAACACGTGCAAAACTCACTCTCAGGTTCTACTACAAGAGCTTTGGAATCCTCTGCTGCTGTCGTTTCTGAAGCCTTCTCGGCAGAGACGGCATCGTTTGATGGTGCCTGAGCCACAACCTGAGCCAAATACTGACCCGGAACAGGTTCAGTTTCCGCCTTGGTTTGCAGCTCTGCCATTGGCGTTGGCTTCAAATGTTGAAGTTCAATTCAGAGAAACAGAGACAGAAACAGAGGCAGTGTTATATTTATAATATTAAAATCTACAAAAAAAAACTCCAACAAACGTGGTGGGCCATTTATAAAGAGTTAATGTTCTCTGAGATTCTGAACCATTGTACCTCACAAATGTGTGACCACAATTCTCTTGGAACCATGCAAGATTTTTAACCGTTAATTATAGACTCCATTCTTTAGCAACTCTGCTATATTATCGAGCTTTCTTGCAAGTTTTTTACTTAGCCAATCCTTAATTTATATTTATAGCATTGGTTTAAGTGTTAAGGAATTTATTTTGAGAAATAATTTTGCGACAGCCACCTTTATAATGAGTTTGATAATATTCAAGAGTAGAGTTATATTGATAAACTTTTTTTTACAAACTTACAAATAAATATCATTTCCCTCAAGTTCGGCTTTTACAGTTTTTTGCGGAAATCAGTCAGCAAGATCCTGATCTCGGATCTCGGCAATACCTCACCTGAATTTCACCAGGTCGAGCAGCGCAGCGGAAAAATCAAAACGAAAAATCACAAAACAGGAGAGAGAAGGAGAGAGAGAACACAAACCGTTTTTAACGTAGGAAAACATTCTCCAATGAAAAAGTAAAAATCCACGGGACCTAGTCCAGATAAAAAATCCACTATGAAAATAATGGTTACAAATAATCAAATTCACCAATGTGATGGTTAACTCAACCTCTTCAACAATGGTGACAATCAAACCTCCCTAGAGATGTTTCAATCAAACTCTCTCTAGAGATCTCTCAAATATAAAACATAAAGTTTTGCTCAAACAATTTTCTCTCAAATTTTTAATCTCTCTCTTTTTCTCTAACCTAGCCTCCACCCTCAACTATTGAATAAATAGAGGAGGTGAAATTTAGGGTTTAAGGTTTATGGTTTTTGAAAAACCCCTAAATGGACTTGGGTTTAGCATTGAAAGAGGAAGCCCAACAAATCTCCCCCTCCGACTTCAATGTGTCGTCTTCAGCATCAACCCGGCTCCTTCACAACAGTCTTCAAATTTTCTTGTTGGAACCGGCTTAGTCATCATGGCGGACCAATTTTGGTCAGTGTACACCTTGACGAGTTCGAGCTCTCCATCTTCCACCACATCTCAGATCCAGTGATACCTCACATCAATGTGCTTAGTGCGGAAGTGATAGGTCGAATTCTTCGCAAGATGGATTGCGCTTTGAGTGTCACAACCCAGCTCGTACTTGTCTTGATCATTGCCGAATTCCATGAGGAACTTCTTCATCCACAACATCTCTTTGCTTGCCTCAATAACGGCAACGTGCTCAGCCTCGGTTGCCGATAGTGCAACACACTTCTGAAGTCTTGATTGCCAAGAGACAGCTCCTCCAGCAAATCTCATCATGTATCCCGTCGTCGACTTCCTCGAGTCGGCGTCTCCCCCTAAATCAGAATCTGAGTAGCCTTGCAACTCGGCTTTGCCTTCTCCAAATCAGAGGCATAAATTGGTCGTACCTCGGAGGTACTTGAAGATCCACTTCACTGCTTTCTAGTGCTCTTTGCCGGGGTTTGACAGATACCGGCTTACCATTCCAACAGCATATGCCAAGTCGGGTCTAGTGCAAACCATTGCATGCATCAAGCTTCCGACGACGGATTGGTACGGGACCTTCATCATCTCATCTTTGTCTTCATCAGATCTCGGACATTGTTTCTGGTTCAGCTTTATGTGTCCGGCTAGGGGGTGCTCACTGTTTTGGCTTTGTCCATGCTGAATCTCTTCAGAATCTTCTCAATATACTTCTCTTGACTCAACCACAATAACTTCTTTTGTCTATCTCGGATAATTTTGATTCCGAGAATCTGCTTTGCAAGGGCAAAGTCCTTCATTGAGAAGGACGAGCTCAACACCTTTTTCAGGGCGGCTATCCTCGATTTGTCTTTCCTTACAATAAGCATGTCGTAAACATATAACAACAATATCAGAAAATCTCCGGCCTCATACCTCTTCACAAATACGCAATGGTCGGCTTTTGTCTTCTCAAACTTGTGATCAGTCATGAATGATTCAAACTTCTTGTACCACTGCCGAGGTGCTTGCTTCAAGCCACAGAGGCTCTTCTTCAACCGACATACCAAGTCTTCTTGGTCTGGAGCTCGGAACTCTTCAGGTTGCTTCATATAAATTTCCTCTTCTAAATCACCGTGAAGAAATGCCGTCTTCACGTCCATTTGTTCTACCTCGAGGTCCATTGAAGCTGCCATAGCTAACACGATTCGGACTAAGGTCATTTTCACCACAGGAGAAAAGATCTCAAAGTCTACTCCTTTCTTCTGATTGCAACCTTTCACTACAAACTGGGCTTTGTATCTCGGCTTCTGCCCGTTCTCTTCATTCTTAATCTTGTAGACCCATTTATTTTTCAGAGCTCGTCTTCCTTCAGGCAACTTGGTCAGCTCATAAGTCTGATTCTCTTGTAGAGACTTCATCTCGTCTTGCATTGTCTTTTCCCATTCTTCTTTTTCTGAGCTCGTCACAACCTCATCACAACTTTGAGGCTCATCGTCTTCAGCAACAACGGTGTATTCATTAGATGAGTATCTTGTAGAGGGTCTTCTTTCTCGAGTTGGATATTCGGCTGTTCTTCAGCTTGAGAACCCAGTTCATCATTCTCATCCCAGATCTCATCATCAACTCGGACCTCATCATCAACATGTTGCTGGTCATCATTTTCTTCATTTTATTGATTTTCTCCCCCTGCTTCAGCTCGGACAGGAGGGATGGGTTCTTCACGTCTGACAGTAACCTGGACTTTGGGCTTCGAAATGTCATGAATGTTCTCATCTTCATGAAAGATCACATCTCGGCTTCTCACTATCTTCTTATTGATTGGATCCCAAAGTCGAATCCCGAACTCACATCTCGGCGAACCAAGATAGATGCATTCTTTTGTTTTTGCATCAAGTTTTGCCCTTTCATCTTTAGGGATATGGACGAAAGCTATGCACCCAAACACCTTCAATTGATTATAGGCCGCTTTCCGACCTGTCTAGACTTCTTCTGGAATTTCTCCTTCAAGTGGCCGTGATAGTGAGAGGTTGATCAAGTCAACAGCAGTTCTGACGGCTTCTCCCCAGAATGATTTCGCCAATCCGACATTGGATAGCATACTTCGGACCTTCTCTTCAATAGTCCTGTTCATCCACTAAGCAAGTCCATTCAACTGTGGAGTCTTGGGGGCGTCTTCTCAAGTTGGATCCCGGCTGCTCTGCAGTATGTATCAAAAGGACCGCAATACTCACCACCATTATTAGATCGAACCACCTTCAATTTCTTGCCAGTCTCCCTTTCAACCATAGCATGGAATTCTTTAAAGGATTGGAGTACCTGGTCTTTAGACTTCAACAAATATACCCACACTTTGCGAGAATGGTCATCAATAAATGAAACAAAATACTGAGCTCCTCCAAGGGATTTTTCCGACATGGAGCAATCATCAATATGGAAGAGGTCAAGAATATACCTGTGTCTTCTGGGTTGATCTGGTCTCACTAAAGAAACTTGGTGCTTCTTTCCAGCTAGGCAATGCGTGCAACTCTCCAACGCTTGGCCTTTCAACCCGGTCAATAATCCTTTCTTGTTCAGGATCTGGAGCCCTTTCTCGCTCATGTGGCCGAGGCGCTTGTGCCATAGCTCCAAACTAGATTCATCTCGGACAGAATTGGCTTCTCCGCCATTGATCTTTCCTTGCATCACGTACAAGGAGCCTTCCTTCTTACCTCGGGCCATGACCAAGTTTCCCTTGGCCAACTTCCATCTAACACTACCGAAGTAGTTCACTAATCCGGCATCGTCAAGTTTTCCTACCGAGATTAGGTTCAGTCGCATGTCAGGAACATGCCTTACATCTTTCAACACAAGTCGGCACCCAACATCCATGGTCAGGGTCACATCACCGACACCAACAGTCTTGCTAGTCACTTGATTTTCCATCTTCACGACTCCAAAGTCACCACCTCGATAAGAGGAGAAAAAACCTTTGTGTGGAGTAACGTGGAAGGAGGCGCCAGAGTCAACAATCCAGGTGCAGTCATCATATGCAACATTCAAATAATTATCCTCACCAAGGAAGAATATCTCGGCATCAGGATTTGCAGCCACCGCAGTGGTGCTCTTGTCTTCCCTCTTCTTGGGAATAATCTGATCCAGCTTCACATAGCCGTTCTTCTCGTCATTCTGCAGGGTCCTGCAGTCTGGCTTCTTATGTCCTGTCTTTCCACAGTAAAAGCACTTCAATTCATATCTCGGCTTTGACCGACCTCTGGACTTTCCTCTTCTATCATGATCTCGACCCCGACTTTTGCTTCTACCCCGGGAGTCGGATTTCCTTCTATTCTTAGCAACGTTGGCCTCAGACGTGCTCGAAATACTCTGTTCTCTTCTCCTGGCTTCTTCGCCCAGGAGGTTGTCTGTCACAACATCCATCTTCAATTTTCCATCTGGGGTTGAATTATTCAAGGTCACCACCAGATTATCTCAGCTTTCTGGCAGCGAGCTCAACAGCAGCAAAGCCTGTATCTCGTCATCAATTTTCATCTCAGCCTTTGACTGCTGATTCACAATACCTTTGTAGGTGTTGAGGTGTTCTATCATGCTCATGCCATCCTTGTATTCCAACTTCACTAGTCAGCGAACCAGGTATGCTTTGTTCCTGGGAGTCTTCTTCTGAATCTTGGACTCTAACTTCGTCCACAACTCATACGCGTTCGTGAACTCGGACACGTGCTCAAAGAGGCTCTTGTCAATATATTTTCTGATCGTAGCTACCGCCTTACGACTCTGAATCTGCCACTCCTTATCGGTTTTGCCTTCCGGTCTCTTATCAAGGGTAATGGGCTCATGTAAATCTTTGCAGCAGAGATGATATTCCATCATCGGTCTCCAATAGGTGAAATTGTCTGCGGTCAGCTTGAACATGTCTCCATCATTGGTTATGCCACTGGTCTCCATCTCGTCTCCCTCAGAACCCGTCGAACTCGGGCTCTAATACCACTGTTGGGAACTCGGTTCCCTCAAGCTCGGCTTCTACAGCCTTTTGCGGAAGTTAGTTAGCAAGATCCTGATCTCGGATCTCGGCAATACCTCGACTTGAATTTCACCAGGTCGGGCAGCGCAGTGAAAAAATCAAAACGAAAAATCAAAAAATAGGAGAGAGAGAGAGAGAGAAAGAAAGAGAGAAGGAGAGAGAGAACACAAGCAGTTTTTAACGTGGGAAAACCTTCTCCAATGAAGAAGTAAAAACCCATGGGACCTAGTCCAGATCAAAAATCCACTATAAAAATAATGGTTACAAAGAATCAAATTCACCAATGTGGTGGTTAACTCAACCTCTCCAACAATGGTGATAATCAAACCTCCGTAGAGATGTTTCACTCAAACTCTCTCTATAGATCTCTCAAATACAAAGCATAAAGCTTTGCTCAAACAATTTTCTCTCAAATTTCTAATCTCTCTTCTTCTCTAACCTAGCCTCCACCCTCAACTAATGAATATATAGAGGAGGTGAAATTTAGGGTTTAGGGTTTTTGGGAAACCCCTCAATGGGCTTGGGCTTAGCATTGAAGGAGGAAGCCCAACACAAATTACATTACGTCTTACCGGTAATACTCTACTCAATAGTATCTCCGGTTAGACATAGTATAGTTTGTAAGAATTTGTAAACAAAAATTTTATAAATATAACCTTCCTCAATATTTAAACTGAATCAGTTTGGTAATCAATAAACCAATAGATTTATATAAAAAGAATTATACTAGAGGATTGTGTTAAACCATTGGATATATATCTATATGTATGAGTTGCTTCAACTAGTTTTTAATTAGGACGAATAAATTTTGAAAAAAAGGTGTGTCATTTTAAATGACACACCTTACATCCTTTCATACTCACAAAAAAGTGGGATCACATTTTTAAAACTTTTTCCCTCTATTCTCTCTTCCATGATTTATCTCTTTCTCTCACTTAAAATGACACAACTTTATGTCCTTTAAAATGATACACACTTTTCCCATAAATTTTTAGTACTCCCGTCATATGTATATTGAACTAATAGGATTGTGACATATCAGCCGATAAGTTTATGAAGAGAGTGAAAAAGAAAATAACTTTAATATTATAATTATATATTTCCCGAAATACATAGAACGTGAGCCTATATTGGCATAATAATTTGACACTCATACCGTTGGCAACCAATAATACTAATCCCAAATACACTCATTAGTGCTATTTTATCAAGTAATAGCTCCCACATGTGACTGTCTGTGGCCCCATAAGTGCTATATAATTTATCGTTTGAAGTGTTTTTTTTAGCCTTCTTAAAAAGAATTAAATAAAAGTTTTTGTTTCTTTTTTAAACTAAAACAAAAAGCTTAGATGATGATGCTTACGAATTGAATATTTGTGGTTGACAGACTGAATTAGTGGTTGATAAGGGGGAAAAAAATATTATGAATGCAAAGTCCTCTTAATTTATCAAATTCTAAAGATGCAAATTCCTTTTTATGGATAAAAAAATAATTTGGACAATGCAATCTCGATATAACTCTTTCAGAATCTTAATTATGAAATTCTTCTTCTTCTTCTTTTTGGCCATTTAATTATGAAATCCTAGAATCCCACTATATTTGACAAATTTAGCTGCCAGAATAGCAAATGTAAAAAACAGTTGGAATTAGTTATTTTTGTTTAAATACAATGATTCCTACTATTGAAATGGTCAGAGACTAACCTGTTTTCACTCCAACCAATGAGTTTGTATCCACAAATTACAGCATAATTTTATCTTTTCCTTAATATTTTGAGGTCTCCAATCACTTGTCAACCATTTACCACTGCAATCAAATCCGTTATAAGTTACTTTGCTTAGACATATCAAAGACTTTATTCAATCCCCATTTGTCTGAGGTGCAAGGCAATGAGTGTTGTTCTCTCTTGTTGAACTTCTCTTTAATCCTTGATTAAAGGAAAAAAAAACATAAACAAACACAAGCAACATAGTTCCTGAGTCATTCTTGAGGAAGGAAAAAACACAATGTCATTCACAGGAACTCTTGATAAATGCAAGGCTTGTGATAAGACTGTTTATGTGGTTGACTTGTTAACTCTTGAAGGTGTACCTTACCATAAAGCCTGCTTCAAATGCAGTCACTGCAAGGGATATCTTACGGTATGGTTCTCCAACACCCTTTGTTGTTGTTGTTGTTTTGTTCTTTTTCTTGTGTTGAATATGCTTCCTACATATTCCTCTTTCGTTCTTAGTTATTATGGTTGAATTTGGCATTCAACAGTTCATTTTTTCTAGCCTAACAAGCCCTTGTGGAATAAAACAAATGTAAAGGCATCAGAATCATACAAAGCTGAAGCATGCAATTATTTAGCAAATTACGTGCATAATCTTGCACGTTATTGAATTTCATACATTCGTAATTTTTACTCATCTTAGATTCCTAATGCCAGGATTTAAATTTTGTTATGAAATTATTAGGCCAAGCATGTACTCAGACACGATTTGATCCATTGAAAGAAAAAATCAATGTATTTTAAACTTGTGCCAAAATTGTGGTGCCAATGATGCAATTTTATGTTGGTCAGATGAACACCTATTCCTCAATGGATGGTGTCCTCTATTGCAAGCCACACTTTGAACAGCTTTTCAAGGAATCTGGCAATTTCAGCAAGAACTTTCAAGGTGAGATGTGAACCATCTTCTGTTTCAGTTCCTTGTTTTCTATTTTTGTTCAGTCACATTCTTATTGAGTACAAATTTATATGCACCTGCCACTTTCTGTTGATTTGGCTAACATGCTATGTTGTTTTCATGACTATAATTCTATAAATGAGGCAGCAAAGTCTTCTGATAAACAAAATGAGCTAATGGTATGTTCACTATCCAACCTAACATATGTGTTACCATTTTTAAGTGTCCTTAAAACTTGAAGGGCATTGTGCTTGGGACATTCAACTGCATTTTTTGCCCTTTTATTTTTATGGACCTTACTTGTAATATGCTTGAGGCATAATCATCATTCATGAAGCAATATATTTTTATTCATTCAAATATTCTTGTGTACTCTTTCTAACATGTCAGTCACAATGATCTTAATTTACAGAATAGGACTCCTAGCAGACTCTCATCCATGTTCAGTGGAACTCTAGACAAATGCTCGGTTTGCTCAAAAACAGTCTATCCGCTGGAAAAGGTTTGTAATATCAGAAAACTCAATTTGGTTGTGACATTTACAATTAAAAATGACACAAAGGGGTTATAAGATATAAATTTTTGAGAATAGTTATATTTACAAACTTTACAAATTCTTACAAATTATACTATATACTATGGGTAGTACATATTATTTAAACATGTATTATTCATAGTACATAGTGTAATTTGTAAGAGTTTGTAAATATAATCTATCACTAAATTTTTTCCATTACTATCTGTATTGTAAACTGATAACATAAAGAGGACGAGTTTATAGCAGTGGCAAAAGTAGCTCTTTTATGACTAAAAGGTCATAGATTTGAATCGAAAAATAGTCTTTTTGCAAATATGTAAGAGTAAGATTATATACAAGGATTTTCCTCGCCCCTATCCTTGCTGGTTGGGATTTAATGATGAGTGGTATTGTAAATTGATTACATATCACTTGGTTTAGAACTTTGATTGAACTGAACTAATTATTCAAAAAATTTATTTTTTTTGGTTAAATAGTTGACACTGGAAGGGGAATGCTACCACAAGACTTGCTTTAGGTGTGCTCATGCAGGTTGCCCTCTCACACATTCTTCCTATGCTGCACTGGATGGTGTTCTATACTGCAGGCACCATTTTGCACAGCTTTTCATGGAGAAGGGAAACTACAATCATGTACTCCAGGCTGCAGCAAACAAGAAGAATGCTACTCCACCTCCTGAACCAGCTGATGATGAAGAACCATCAAAGCCAGAGCCAGAGCCAGAGCCAGAGCCTGAGCCTGAGCCACAGACAGAATCTGAGGAACAGAAGACAGAAGAAAATTCTAAAAATGAAACATAGGAAACATCAATTGCTTCCTCCTTTCAAAGCTTTGTTAAGTGTTGTTGGCACACTTCCTTATCTGGTTGAATTTCATTGTCTAACATTTGATTACAAATTAGTTTATTTTTGTAAGCTAATTTGAGAGGTTTTTTTTTTTATGTATTCATACAAAAAGAGTTGTTCAATACAATATATATTCTTTTATTGCTTTTGTTGGAGGTTTTTCTCCTTGCAGTGGTATCACTGCAATTGTGTAATAACTTGATAGTAAGAGAGATGATTTTATGTTGTCCACAAATTTCTCTACTTATTTGCACTTCAACACATTACAATGCAATGGATATCGAGCACTACTATTGAAATCCAGTCATCAAAGTGAGACACTATTTTTAAAGACCACTACTATATCGAATAATTAGTTTTAAAATTTAGGATATATACATGTTATTTTTTGAATTGCAATTTATTTTTTTAATAAATCTAAAAAATCTCATTTTGGTGAAATGAAGAGTAGGAAGAGAACTATCACTCTAGTTCATATACTAAAAATAAAAACGATATAATAGTTGTCAAAAAAAAAAATTCATATTGCAAATTATAAATATTATAAGTTTAGGTTATTTTTTTTTAAATTATTAAATATAATATATATTATATAAATTGAAAATTAATTTAATATCAAAAACGTTTACTAAGTAACGAAATTAAACATTTTTTATGATTAACATATGGGAGTGTCCTCACAACCTATTTAATTCTATGAAGAATTATAGATAAACAGTATTTATTCATCACTAACCTTACTGTTCCAAACCCTGAACCCTATATGTCTTCCATATTCGCCTCTTAACAACGTTGTTTTGTCGGTTACAACAACAATACACAATCAGAGCAATGGACAACGAGGTTGAAGAGAAACAACATCGTACAGAACAACACGAACAAGAAGAGGAAGAAGTAGTAGTAGAAGAAGAAGAAGAAGAAGAGGTTTCGTGTTCTTCGGATTCGGAAATTGGGGATGCGTTGGATTGGTTGGATTCGAAGGACGAGGAGGAAGTGTTTGATGGTTCCTTCTCACTAAATTCGAGGCGCCCCAACGCTCATGGTGGCCACCATCTCCATTCATCCACACTTCAACCTCTCTCCAATCGTAACCAAAAGTTCTCCCATCACATTCGAGCTTCTCCCTTGGAGGTTGATTCCATGCTTCAAACCCCACCCCCTTCTTTTTTTTTCTTTTTTTTTGCTCTTTCTTTCACACCATTTAAAGGGTATCTCATTATGCGCTGTAAACTTTTAAAGGGTCATTTTTTTTTATTCATTTATCGATTAAAGGTACAATTTTTATGTGTTCTTTTCTTTATATGCATGTTCATTAACCATGCTAATTTCAATATATTATTATTATTTATTTTTTTAAAGTTTGGAACAATTTGAGGATCGTTAGTGGGGGTGAACTTGATTTCGTGATTGTAGCTGTTTTTGTATGTGTGGTGGTCTTGGTTATCCACTAGAAACATTAAAAGGGTTGAAAATATATATCCATTTATCCATTGAAGTTTGAATTTTTCTGTAGTTTTTATATGTTTGTTCATAAATCATGCTAATTTCACTATTAATTATTTTTTTTTCTTTTTCCCTTTTCAATATTAATTGATTTCCCTTTAAAAGAATTGAGATTTGAACATATTTGCTGTTGTAGCTGTTTTTGTATGTGCGTTGACTTGTGACTTCTATTAGGTTGACTCCCAAGTGATTCTTTGATATGGATTTGTTTGCATTTTAAGTTGTGGGGTGAATTGTGTGTTTAGGGATTCTGTGGAATCTGTTTGTTTGTTTTTAGTTTTAAGCTAGACACTTGGTGGTGCAGGAGTGGGAAGGAAGGATGAATGTTGGCATGTCTAACTCTGTGACAACGGCGATTCGTGGAAGCGTTCGAGATATGGCCATTGGCAAAACTAAAACTACTGAGAAAGCAGACCGAGCCACTGTTGAACAGGTGAACAATGATGATTTTTTAAAATCTGGTAACTAAATTTCTTCTTCTTCTTCTTTTTTCCCCCCTAATATAATGTTTGCTCCTTGTAAAGAAAAGAAGCCTTACCATATATTTATCATCTCTCTATTCCCTGTTTGTGCACCTGGTTATACAGTAGTTATAGAGTATAATCAATTGACTTCACCAGCTCAACTTTATTTTCATTACTTGCTTCCCTCTTACAGTCCTACGTTTTGTTATCTTCTTTTTGATTATATATGCCTGAGGCTTGTATGTTTGTCTATTCCTTTTCTATGACTATTATGCAACTAACTACAAAATTTCCCCAGGCAATTGATCCTAGAACGCGCATGGTTTTATTCAAGATGCTGAACAGAGGTGTGTTTCATGATATCAATGGATGCATTTCAACTGGAAAGGAAGTATGTGATATGCCTGAGGCTTTTATTTACTTGTTTGTTTTATCATGATCTTATGGTTTAGGTTCTATGATGATGACTCAGTCTGGATAATATGTTGTATGTGATATCAAGCCATCAATTTTTCCATTTCTTACTTTCTTCTTATTTTCTAACAGGCAAATGTTTATCATGCAACCAAATCTGATGGTCAAGAACTTGCAATTAAAATATACAAAACCTCTGTTCTGGTGTTTAAGTAAGTACAAGTGTTACTTTGTTTTAGCTTCTTCTGTCACTGTAGATTGTGTTGAAGGCTGAAATATTAAGAAAGAATTATATAGGACCAGGACATGCAAACTTGTCTTATAATTTATGTTTTATCATGCAAGAGTTTCTTCCACGTGCTGGATAATTTAATCTATTTCCTCTTCTGTTCTTTTGTTTGTAACCCAGTTGGGGGAGTATTCACTTACTGATGTTTGATTTATTTACTCTATGTTTATCTGTAGGATCAGATATATATAACATAAATATAATATATTTTCAAGAATTTATGGAGGACTTTGGGCTGAGGATTACTAAAACGTTCTAGATACATGTTCTTTTTATATATTCCTTAGATACATACAAAGTACAAATGCATCAGAGAATATGTTTCGACACATTGACTAGAAACCCAGTATTTTGATTCAAAGATCCATTTTTATTTTGTTTTATGAACTGAACTTTATCACCTGATTGGTATCAGGGATAGAGACAGATATGTGCAAGGAGACTACCGGTTTAGACATGGATACTGCAGGCATAATCCCAGGAAAATGGTAAAAACATGGGCAGAGAAAGAAATGAGGAATCTTATGAGGTGTGCATCTGTTCTTTTTTCATTCCTTCTTTCTGTTGGTTATGCACTTCACTAGAAACTGCTAAGAAAATGCCGATAAAATTGAAATATAATATACTAAATTAGACTATCAAAATAATAAGAAAAGGATAAAGAATTGAAGAAAGGTATAAATACATCAGTCAATTTCATGCTGTGTGTTAGGGTTTTTGTTATTAAACCTCTTACCTGTAGATTACAAATTGAAGCACTGTAAATCTTATATAAGTTTTATGGTGGCTTTTACTTAAACCAGGAGCTTGTGTAGTCATCCTTCCTGATAGTTGAAAGATCTTTCATGGATTTATTCTAAATCTGAATGGAAATAGGCTCGAATAAACCTATTAAGTGTTAATCTGTACTGGAGGGGCAATGTTATGTGCGTCAATTTTTCTGAGCTTTTATTTTATTTTTCTTCCTGTATTATCTTTCTTCTACTGTTAAAGGGGCTCCTTTTTTATACTTCCAGTGCACATGGGTTTGTTCATTTGGTTGTTTCCAAAAAAAAAAAAAAAAGTTTGATTCCATTCTGACCGGAGTTGTTTTACCCCGTCTTTATTGGATTGCAGGCTAAAGGCAGCAGGACTTAGGTGCCCTACGCCATATCTTCTGAGGCTACACGTTCTGGTTATGGAATTTATAGGTATTGCTTTTTTTTCTGCATTTTGAGAATACAATCTGGTGAATGCAATCAACGTGATTGATTATTTATATTTGATCAATTGATCTCAATTACTATTGTTGATTATATGAAATACCAGTGTGTAAAATGTATGCCATTGATCCAAAAAAAGAAAAATAATGTGCAGTTTACTTGCTCTTTTCACTAATATTGAAGATGGTAGTTACCCTCAATATTGATCAAATTTATCATCAGCCATAGAAAGTTCTAATTTCTTGCCGTAGCATATATCATCTCATTCTGGTAATGCGGTCTGCAGTTTAGAAAGAGGAAAATACAAGCACACTTTTAGTTGAAGCTCTCTGCCTATTTTTGTTTCTTGCAGGAAAGACTGGTTGGGCTGCCCCTCGTCTTAAAGATGCATCTTTGTCCTTAGACAAGTTACGGGAAGGATATTTTGAGGTGTGTCAAATTACTATCAAAGTCCAGTGATGCTTGTATCGTTTAGAAGTTAGAACTTAGACCTTTAGCAGGTCTCTTAAATATTATGCTGTTGGGATGCTGTAGTATAAGGTTCCTTTTTTGGTCCTCAGAAGCATGTTATCTAGAATGATTACTAAAAGCTCACTTGTATTATATGGTTAAAGTTTTAGAAGTCTGCTCAGTCTCTTTCATTTAGGGTTTCTTGATGGAAACAATTATGTGACATTTCTTTTAGGTTTCTAAGGGTGTTAATGTATATTCTGTGCTGCCAATTTTTTATGTTGAAATTATATTAGTATTTGTATTTCAGATGATTATCGCGATGCGGACATTGTATCAAAAGTGCAAATTGGTGCATGGTGACCTCAGTGAATATAATATACTTTATTATGAGGTGAACACCCCATCGCCTGTTTATATTTCGTTGGCTAAATGCCTATTTGTCAATAGTTAATTCATTTGTTCTTTGTTTGCCAGGGTCACTTGTATATTATTGATGTTTCTCAAGCTGTTGATCCGGACCATCCTCATGCCCTTGATTTTCTGCGTGAAGATTGTGCTCATATATCTGTAAGTACTTCTAGGCCCTAGCAGTAAATTACGAATTTATTTTCCTCATATATCTGCAAGTACTTCTAGGCACTAGCTGTAAGTTACATATTTATTTTCCTCTAGTCTGTTGTGGGGCTAATAAGGAAAAAATGTGATTAAGTAATTGTTTGGCTTGCAGGAATTCTTTAAAAAACATGGTGTAGCTGTCATGACAAATAGAGAACTGTTTGATTTTATTGTTGATGCATCCATTGCTGATGATGCTGTGGACAGTTATTTGGAAGAGGTATTCGTCATTTGTTTTATTATTGTTTCCATTTATGAACAACTTCAAAAAGATCTTTATGGTTCTAATAAATTTCTATAGATGCAACAAAAAATTTTGGCAAGAGGAGATGTATCTGTGGAGGATGAGATTGCAGACTCTGTATTTATGCAGGTAACCTGCCACATTATGTCAACTTCTTACTTGGCTTTGTTTTTTTTTTTTTTCATTATTTATTATATTTAAATCAATCTTTATCTAATTCTGGGTGTGCATGACAACCATTCTATTTCCTAGCACTATTTCTAAAAAGAAACAATTCTTTTCTATTTCTATGCCTTGGAACAGTTTCTGAGAAAAAAATGTGTTTGATAACATGTTCTATTTTTATTCCGAGAATGAGAATTGTGTTTTATAACACAACAAATAATATAATAAAAAATAATTCTTATTAAATATAAAAAAATTCCGGATCATCACTTTCCTTTCAATATGGTGTGGTTGTGGTGGTGATGGCGGCAGGGGGTGGCATGGTGGTGGTGGTGGCGGCGGCGGCGGTACGGTAGTGGTGGTGGTTGTGATGACAGTGGCTGCGGCGATGGCGGTGGTGGTGACGGTAGTGGCTGCGACAATGGTGGTTGGTGGCGGCGGCGACGACAGTGGTGACGGTAGTGGTGGTTGGTGACAATGGTGGTGGTGGTGGTAGTGGTGGCAGTGGCGTGGTGATGGCGATGGTGGCGGTGACGAAAGTGGTTGCGATAATGGTGGTGGTGACGATGGTGGTGGTGGTGGTGACAATAGTGGTGGCAGTGGTGTGATGGTGGCGGTGGCGGTGACGAAAGTGGTTGTAATGATGGTGGTGGTGACGGTAGTAGCTGTGACAATAGTGGTGATGGTTGGTGGCGGCGACAACGGTGGTGATGGTAGTGGCTGCAACAATGGTAGTGGTTGTCGGTGACAATGGTGGTGATGGTAGCGGGGGTCGTGGTGACGATGGTGGTGGTGGCAGTGGCGTGGTGATGGAGATGGTGGCGGAAGTGGTGGTGGTGGTGACGGTGACATGGTGGTAGTGATGGGTGGAGGTGGAGGTGGTGGCGGTGGCATCGTGGTGGTGGGAGGGGGTGACAACGGCACTAGTGGTACGACGGCGGCGGCGACGGTGGCTGCGGTGGTCGTGTCGGGATGATGGTGGTGGTGGTCATGTTGGTAGAGGTGGAGAGTGATTGAGAGAGAAAGTGTTTCTCATTTTGTGACCGGAAACAAAAAAGCAGAATTTTTTTTATTCTTTTTTCTGTTCCCCAGCACAAAAATTAAACTGGTTCATCTCGGGAACAAAAAAATAAACCAGTTTTATCAAACGAGTTTTCTATCCATTTCTGTTCCCGGGAATAGAAATTAAAAAAAAAATGATACTGGGAAAGTTATCATGCGCACCCTCTGTGATTGAATCCTCAAAAGTCTCAGATTTTGGGTTGATTTCATCCATACCCGGTAGAGGAGTATGTTTGGTTGGAAACTAATGGAGGAGAGAAGAAATGAGGGATTTTCACAATTTCACTTAACTTTCCAAAATCCTTCAATACTTGATTTTAAAGCTTGGAATTAGAGGGATTTTGATGAGAGAAACTAAGTTATACTAAATACCGTAATAACTTGTTCTAAATATTATTGTTGAAGTTGACATTACTATACTAGTTTATTAATATATAAACTTGAAAGGTGAACACAAATATTATTCACTTAAGAAAAACACGTACACGATTATAATATTTATAGAAAAACTAGTGAGTCTAAAAGAATAAACTCAAATCCTAAACATAATCTATCTAAATCCTAAACATAATCAAGCTAATAAAGGAGACAAATAATTACAGATATTTTCCATATTTATGGCATATAATGAAATTGTAAAATTCATTCTTTGTTCTTATTTATTTATTTATTTTACATAACCCTCCATTGCCTCTCTTTTATTTATTTTAAACAACAAAAGGGGAGGAAAATCATCATTTAACCCTCCTTTTCCTTTTGAATTTTCTTTCCAAATCGTAGATATGAGCTTGATTTTAATTGTTCTTGGTTCTTATATTTGTAAGAACTTGATATGGGGTTCAGATTTGGTCTTTGAAAGCACTGGTCTTTGTGGTCTGTTTAGCACATTGATCTTTTATGTCCTTTCTTACAAGTTTTGATTTCCTGAACTCTTGTTACAGTCTTTCATTCCAAAGACACTAGAGGATGTTAAGAATGCTGAGGAGGATGTGCAACGGATAACAAGTGGGAAAGACACTGGAGATTTATACTATCAGACCATTACTGGACTGAAACATGCTCTAACCAAAGCACAGCCTTCACTGCAAAATGACCAGCAACAGCAGAAATCAAGTGCTACAGAAGGAGGCAACAATGAGGATGATGCTGAGTCTCAATCTGATGAGGATGAAGATAATGAAAGTGATGCAGAAGAGACTTCATCTTCTGAAAGTGAAGTAGAGAATCCTGTGGATAAGAAAGCTGCTAGAAAAGATGCTAGAAAAGAGAATAAGAAGAAGGTGAAGGAAGAGAAGAGAGAAGCACGTAAAAATAAAGTCCCCAAGGCTGTCAAGAAAAGGAAGAAAAAGTTGGCTAAAGCCCGCATGACCCGTTAGATAGAAAAAAAAAAGATCAATTTTGTTCACTCAATACTATTTATTTTAAGGAGAGGATAGAAAGCATGTGACAATATAGTCACCGGCCTATGGTTTTCTAAGCATTCCACATACTGCTTTTCTGTAACATATGTCTGCATTACCTGCTTTTCTCTATACTCAATTTCTGTTAATTTAAGTGGAATTATGTGATGGAATTAATTTTAAGGCATACATACTCTTCATCCGTTTAGTTTTATAATTCTTTCAATTTTGTTGTTTTCTTTCTGAAAAAAGTTGTGAATGCATTAGAGTCTCCACTTATGTGAATGCATTATGGTTACGGAATCATTGTTTGATGAAAGTTCATATGCGTATTCACAATGTCCACACGTAGGTTGCTACAGTGATTAAAAAAAAAGTTCTTATAATTTAAAAGTAATCTGGTCTTTAAATCAGGACTAAAGAGTGAATCAAATGTATTTCTGGTTTGGATTTAATCAGATTAACGTTTAAATAGATTGGTTGGGTCTTAAAAGTAATATAGAAGATATAAGGACTCACCTTAGGATGTGCATAGCCTTATCGTGAATGGAAAGGTTCAAATGAGAAAAGGCTTCTGGTGGATAGCAAAGCATCCAGATTTGAGGAATAAACTACAATATGCTTCGGGTAGATGAAAATAAGCGTAGATTTGGGAATTCCCGAATAGGTGCTAAATCCATAGGCAAACAAGAGACAACCTGGGAACTGAAACATCTTAGTAGCCAAAGAAAGGAGAAGTGATTCCCCTAATAGCACAATAGGAATAGCCCAAACGGAGAAAACAGGGTTGTAGGAGAGCTATATATAAGCGTCGTGTTGCTAGGTGAAGCGATGGAGTGTTGCGCCCTAGATGGCGATACTACAATAGCCGAAAGCATAACTAGCTTACGCTATAACCTGAGTAGCACAGGGCATGTGAAATCCCGTGTGAATCAGCAACGACTACCTTGTAAGGCTAAATATTCTTGAGTGACCGATACTGAAGCAATACCACGAGGGAAGGGTGAAAAGAACCTCCATTGGAGAGTGAAATAGAATATAAAATCATAAGTTCCTAAGTAGTGGGAGTACGAAACATTATTTATCTCGGCCTTTGCCAAATTTTTCATCTTAGTAAACTTTAACCTTCTTACTTACACTCCCAAATTTTTGATATCATAAAAGATTCATTCCAACTCACTTTGCTCATTATTTTCAACCCATCTCACAATATCTATAACTATAAGAAACATAAGTGACCACTTCAAGTGCTAAGGGATAAACTTTGTTATCCTATCACAAAGCAGTTTGACTCATGCTTAAACTCTTATACTTACAGTAACCCCATATATAAATAATGGGGAATAATTGTCTCATATTGCATGAGATAATTATCTTAGACAACAGAGACAAAATAGTGGGGTCCACTATTTTTTATTTTATTTTTGAAAAAATAATGGACCCCACAATCTTATCTCTGTTGCATGAGATAATTATTTCATGCAATATGAGATTAATAGATCCCATAAATAATAAGTTAAATCTCAAAGATACTACATACTTTCACAGGTTAAATCTCGAAAAACATATTTTCCGAACCATAGTCTCTTAATTATTATTGTGTTTACACTCATGTCCTTCTTGAGTCTCGTTTGTGTACAATGATCTGTCACCACTTACGACATCTCTTTTATAGAATCCCTCGAGCATACCAATACTATATTAATTATGACCATACAGTCATACATTCACACACATACACACTCACGTTCTTCTTTTTAAGTCTCGTCGTACGTATCTTATATTAATTACAACTATACGGCCATACATTCATCATTCTCTTGGATCCATCACTTGGAATACTTTACCTAGTATTTCACCATTTATTCTTACTAGGCTTCAAATCACTATATTTCTTCACACTATATTAATACACATAATGATTTGTCTCCTATTGAAATTTATAATTTACGATATGAAATTATATATCTCTCATTGTAGATATTAAATAAATGAAATTCTATTAAAATTTCAAATAAATTTATTATGCAAATTTGCTGTCTATGAAATTCAATAAAATTTATGAATATATATGAGATAAAGTTTGAATTTTTTTTTTTTTTTTAAGATAGCAACATATCAAATTATATATTGATATGACAAGGTATCAAATTATACATTTCACATGTCAAATGGTAGGTATATTTCATATGTCAAATTGTATATTATTAGAGGGTAGCCATTGTTGACAAATTAGTGAGAGTCATGAAAGATGAGACTAACCAAAGCCATTACCGGCAGCACCTCTCTGGTGAATCCAAATATCAAAACTCTTCACACAGACTCAGACCCTTCCTCAATCTACCATCTTCTCAAGTCCTACGCGCTTTCCTCAACAAACATCCTCAAAGCTCAAACCCTCTTCCACCAAATCCACCGACCCACGTTGTCGCTTTGGAACCTCATGATCCGCGGTTGGTCGCAGAGTGACCAACCCATCGAAGCAATTTGTATGTATAACCTCATGTATAGCCAAGGCATTGTTGGTAACAATCACACTTACCCATTTCTCTTTAAGGCCTGTGCTCGAGTTTCTGATGTTTCCTGTGGTAGAATAGCTCATGCCCGTGTTTTGAAACTTGGGTTTGAGTCCCTTCTTTTTGTTTCCAATTCGTTGATTCATATGTACGCTAGTTGTGGTGATTTGGGTTTTGCGCGTAAGGTGTTTGATGGAATGCCTGAGAGGGATTTGGTTTCTTGGAATTCGTTGATTTGTGGGTATAGTCAGTGCAAGAGGTTTAGGGAGGTTTTGGGTCTTTTTGAAGCAATGCAGGTGGCCAATGTGAACGGTGATGCTGTGACAATGGTGAAGGTTGTTTTGGCATGCAATTTTTTGGGTGAGTGGGGTGTTGCTGATGCCATGGTTAAGTACATTGAGGAAAACAAGGTGCAAATTGATGTTTACCTAGGAAATACCCTGATTGATATGTATGGACGGCGCGGTATGGTTCATCTTGCTCGAGAAGTATTTGATCGGATGCGACACAGAAATATGGTTTCTTGGAATGCCATGATTATGGGATATTGGAAAGTAGGAAATTTGTTTGCAGCTCAGGAGCTGTTCAATGCTATGCCGCAGAGAGATGTGATCTCATGGACTTCTATGATCACGGGTTATTCTCAAGCAAACCAATTTACGGAGGCAGTGAGGCTTTTCAAAGAAATGATGGAAGCTAAGGTGAAGCCGGATGAAATTACGGTTGCTAGTGTGCTTTCTGCATGCGCCCATATTGGTTCACTTGATGTTGGGGAGGCAGTTCATGACTATATACGGAAATATGACGTGAAAGCTGATGTTTATGTTGGAAATGCCTTGATAGATATGTATTGCAAATGTGGTGTAGTTGGGAAAGCATTGGAGGTGTTTAAAGATATGAGGAAGAAGGACTCTGTGTCATGGACTGCGGTTATTGTCGGCCTTGCCGTGAATGGTTTTGCAGATTCGGCACTTAATTTTTTTTCACAGATGTTGAGAGAAGGTTTTCAGCCATCTCCTGGAGCCTTTGTTGGAGTTTTGCTAGCCTGTGCTCATGCTGGATTGGTTGATGAAGGATTGGAATATTTTGAAACTATGGAAAAGGTTTATGGAGTGACACCGGAAAAGAAACATTATGGATGTGTTGTGGATCTTTTGAGTCGCTCTGGCAATTTACAGAGGGCATATGAGTTCATAAAAACGATGCCTATGGCTCCAGATGATGTAGTATGGAGGATATTGCTGAGCGCCTCTCAGGTTCATGGAAACATACCCTTGGCTGAGATTGCTACAAACAAGCTTCTTGAACTGGATCCTTCTAATAGTGGTAACTATGTACTCTCGTCTAATACTTATGCGGGATCCAATAGATGGGAAGATGTTATTAAAATGAGAGGCCTAATGGAGGAGAGTAATGTACAGAAACCATCAGGTAGCAGTTCCATAGAAATAAATGGTTCAAACAGTTCTCAGGATTCATGTTTTGTTAAACTTCAAGAGAAAAGTAAATTGACTGCTATCTAGAAGAGTCATTTATTACTTTATAAATTGATTTCATTTGTGAGACGACATGGTCTATGGAAGGGAAATAAACCAAGGGCATGAAAATTTAAACCTCACCCCTGATGGTGTTGTTACACAAGTGACTTATTTCTAGATGATATCTGTTGCCATAGAGCAATATTTTGATGGGGAAATAGTAGAGTTGCTTATTGTGGATTACAGATCAAATTGCTAAACAGGCAGAGGTTTGATGATACCTTAATTGCAAATATGTACTGTGCTCATACTGGATCTGTGGCTAAACCAAATTGCAAACCATTTCTCATCAAAATCATTATGGCTGCTGCAAAATCATCTATACAGCTACTTCCATACCTCTCCAAAGCTAACCAGCTCCCAAAGACTGCCATATAGCATACTGAGATAATGATGTTAAAGGATCAACACCTTCAAATTCAGGAGGCAAAGGTTGTTTTAAGATTCTGCTCTCTACAATAGTTCCCTTTGATCCACCTTGCCTTAGGAAACCCCTTTTCAACCTCATATTCTGACTTGCAGTCAATTATATCTTGAACTCTCAACAACTGGACATAGATTGTGTCAAGCAGAGTATCAATACAGCACTCATGTATCAGGATAGACAGCTTGAGAAAGATACACATTCCCTGCAATCAGCACTCAATAAGGACACCCAAACCAGGATATACTCACACTTCCAATCACACACTACCAGATCCGGATATCATTTTTGTATATTCAGAATAAAATCAAGGTTGTGTATGTTATTTGACCCTTTTTATTCCAATCTCAAGCAAGGTTGATCCCTTGGATACAACTTGGTATGCTTGTTTTTTTTTATTATCACATAAAATATTTTTATCAATAATTACAAAAGCACAATATGATTGTCATTTTGTTTCTTATTTTCAAGATTATGTTAAGAAAATGTTGAAAATAATATTATGTTAATTTCATAATGTCTTTCTCAAAATCTTTTAAAAAAAGAAGACGCAGCAAATGAAAACAATATTTTATTTTGTAATTATAAGTAAAACCATGTTAATTAAAGAATGCGTATTGGCGTTTTCATTTGTTAACTTGAATTTTCATCTTTCTTGCTCTAAGTAAGGTCCATTGGTGCCTTTATAATCCATCTCGTAAGTAGGTCTGAAATCTGTATTAAAAGACCATAGTTTTTTAACATGATATGTCATCAAACTTAAAGGCCTACCTGTCAATATATAATTAACCACACATAAAGGAAAGAGATACAAAGGGAACACTCTATCTCAAGCCCATAGACCTTATGAATTACAGGAATTAAGCGGTTTAGCCCAATAATTAATCCTCAAATTAAGGTTAGATAACTCCTTTTTAGCAAAACTTTAAAAGATCAATCAATATTAAATTGAGGAATTGCTTAAAATTACTACGTGAAATGAAAGCTCTAGTTATAGGAGCCAACTTTAAGCTACCTTTTCACTGAAGCGAGAACTCCAAATTAATGCAAATCAAATTGAGCTTGGTTTAGCTACTCTTCGTCAGTCAGAAGATTACAAAGAGATTGATAATAATATTAATGTTCCAAATGGCACAGACGCATCCTTTAACGATACAAATAGGCTTGTTAAGTATAACCTCAGGAGGTATCTAAGATATGTAGTTTTAGGTTACCTTATGGTTTGTTCATTAATGCGAACTCTCGTAGGTAGAACGAAGCACACCATGTTTAAAACCTAAGCAGCGTCACGTGTCTGGCTACGGGGGAGGCGGTGGCAGAGCCTATAGTAAGAGAGAGAAGGGGGAGAGAGAGCAGCGAAGACAAGGGGGATATTTAGGGATTAAACGAGGATCGTCGGATCGCTACGACCAATCCAACTGTGAGATTGGTGGGTAGTAACATTGGTTGTAACATCACTTGGTTGTCACAATATTATATATATATATATATATATATATATATATATATATATATATATATGTATGGTATGATTCTTTGGCACCAGTGTCAAATTTGAAATTTGGCACCAGTGTCAAATTTGAAATTTGGCACCAGTGTCAAATTTGAAATTTGACACCTCGTCTGAGAGCCATTAGATCAAAAAAGATCAATGGTGTCACATGCTTACAAATAAGAGCCGTTGATCTAATGACTTTTAGATGAGGTGTTAAATTTTAAATTTGACACTGATGTCAAAGGATCCTACCTCTCATATATATATATATATATATATATAAACATCACATCACATCACTCAACTTAATGTGTGTCATATCAATCACGTGGATTATTATAATTTCTAACTTCAAGGATGTCATTAAATTTTTATTATTAATCATTATGAGTGTACTACAAAAAATTTAAATACCATATTTATTATTTAGTGTCTGTTTGGGATAATTTTTTAGTTTCTCTTTTTTTTATAAATAGAAGATAGGTCAAATAGGTTTTTACAAAAAATGTTATAATAAAAAATGTTTTTTATATAATTAAAAAAAAAGTCAAAACCAAAAATTCCTTTTTTAAGTTATATCAATTTTTTTTTGATAAATAGCTTTTAAATAATTTTTAAGTTAAAATTTTTATATAATCATCAAATAGTTTATAGTTTTATTTTTAAAACTTTTATTTTTTGAATTTTAACTTAAAAGTAACTTTCAAATTTAAAAAATGTAGGTGCCACTCTTAAAAGTCTGGGTTGGACTAGACCAAAAGCATTGGATAGCTTAAACAGGCACCAAGTAACTTGTTTTATATTTCTACTTGTAGTCAATTGAACCCTATTTTTCACGGTTTTGATTTTCTTTTTCCTTTTTCCTATTCTCTAATTAAATGTTTATTTAGAAGAAAAAAATATATCAAGAGAGGTTATTACCAAATAAGAGAATAAAAAAGACAATAAAAATTAGGGATAAATGATTGAGTAAATTACAAATAGCTTTCTCGATGTTTCATTTTCATTCATAAAGTTTATTCCAAATTACATAACTTATTTGTTAATATTCTATAGGTCGCTGAATAGTATGTACCAGTAGTTTGCGTTGCGAGCCATCTTATTCTAATACAAATTGTCTCTTACAAAATAAACTATACATATAAAGCTAAAAATAACTAAAATATCAAGGGCTATTTGTAATTTACCACAAAAGATTTGATTTCTTTATTCACAAATTCACATGCTAAAAAATCTAAAGCGAAAGTTCAATAGTTCATAGTTTAAACTCTCTTCCCCCAAGTATATTGATCAATTAACATGGACTATTTCAGTTTAGTTTGAGCCCCAATAGATAATTATGTTAAACATTTGATAATGATTATTTTTTTATATTATTCATCGGTTCAAAGATATTTTATTTAAGTCAAATATGAGGCAAATTTTTTCGTACCAAATTTTAATACAGTTGTATTTTTATGGACTCGAATTTAAGATAACTATTAAGTTATAAGTTATAACAACTCCTTATAAGACATCCAATAAAATTTGATAATCCTCAATGTCTCAAATTAGATTAGTTAATTAATTGATAATAGGTGAAAAAATTTAAAAAATATATTAAAAAAAAAACAGGATTTTGCTACTACTAATTAGTGTTACTATCAATGTTATTACCAGTTTGTTTCATCGTTAGATCGATCAAAAGATTCTGATTTAATTTTTTAAAATTTTTCTTTCTTCTCTCTATATTTAATATTTATTTTTATATTCTTTATTTTTAATACTTTTATATTAAATATGGAAAATTATAATCATATAAAAATAAAAATAAATATAACTATTTGATCAATATAATTAATCTAACGACGAACAATTTAGCAGTGAGATTAATAGTAATTAACAATATATCTCTAAAAAAAAATTCAAACTCTTCAATGTAAAATTGCGAACTCTTTAATGCACGTGAAGACAATGGCTTCTAGAATATTTTTTCCGATACTCAATTCAATGGCCGTTTTTGGTGGGTATCCAAAAAAATGAAAAGAAGAATATTCATATATTATTATCATATAAAATCTCGCATATTGCACATTTTCTCAGTTGAGAAATTTTCATTTTCCCTCTCCCCAAGCAGCATCAGAAAGTAAGTAGTTTTTAGTAAGTGACGGAAAAGGAAAAAAAATTATAATAAAAAACCTAAAAAATTGTTATAAATTTATCTGTTTCAGACAAAAAAGCGAAGCTGAGTTTCAAAACTTCGAAGACAACGCCGATTCGTTCCTCAGTTTCGTCATTTTTTCTTCATTCATGATCAATTGCAACACTCTTCTTCACTCTTCAAAGTCTACGCGTTGATGCACAGGTACGTACATATTGACTCTTAAATCGTTTCTGCAAAACCGAGTGAGTTATTTGTTTCCGATGAATGTGAAAATTGTGTTTGTATTCAGCAGTTTCTGAGGTTTTTGATGAATTTCTGATTAGTGTATGTGAAATGTGTTGAACAGTGTTGTTGTCTGTGAGTATTGAGTTGTTGAAAGATCCAGAAATATGAACATGGATACGGCTTTGGCTCCAGCCTTGCTGTGTTAGCAAATTGAGTGGGTTATTTGCTTTAGATGAATGTGAAATCTGTGTTGTATTCAGTGTCTCTGATTTTTTTTTATTTTTTTATTTATCAGGTTTTTGAGGGATTGCTGATTGGTGTGTGTAAAATGTGCTGAACAGTGTTGTCTCTGAGTGTTGAGCTGCGAAAGGTTGAGAAGTGTGAACATGGATATGGCTTGTAGGTTGCCACAGTCAAGAATGTCACATGGAGGTGTGGGGACAAGTCTCAGACACAAACCAGTAGGTCGTTTTGATTTTAGAGGGAGAGGTTTTGGCTGTGCATTTCTTGGCAACTCGAGAAGTGTGTCGAGGAGGTCGTGTTTTAGTGGGATGAACAAAGTCAGTGGTGTCTCTGCTTGTTGGAATAACTCAAGAGTTGTTTCTGGTGGTCAGTTTAAAGTTTTGAATATGAAGAGAAGTTTGTCTTGTAAGAATAGAAATCTTTTTTTGGGGTCTAGAGTCATTTGGTCGAAGTGTCAGGGTAATGATTCTTTAGCTTATGTTAATGGCAATGGCCGGAATGTTGATTGTGTGGAAGATTCAAGTGAGGATGCAGGGTTGGGGCCCATTTCTAGTGCTGAACTGGATGCACCTTTGGAGGAAGAAGAAGAAGGGGAAGCCAGGAGGAAAGAAGGAGGGAGTGAAATAGGAATAGAGGAACGAAGTGTGGATGAACTGAAAGAACTATTGCAAAAGGCCTTGAAGGAGCTAGAAGTTGCACAAATAAATAGCACCATGTTTGAGGAAAAGGTTAAAAAAATATCAGAGACTGCCATTTTTTTGCACGATGAGGCAGCACGTGCTTGGAACGATGTTAATTCTACCCTTGACACCATCCAAGAAATTGCTAACGAAGAACATATGGCCAAAGAAGCTGTCCAAAAAGCAGCAATGGCTCTTTCGTTAGCTGAGGCAAGGGTTCAAGTAGCCGTAGAATCTCTGGATGTTGCAAGAGAGGCACCTGATTCGGCACAAGGTTTTAATGAGAGCAATGATGACAAGGACATAATGGAAGAGGAGAAAACAGTATTGGTTGGTCAAGAAGAAATCAAGGAATGCCAGGCAAATTTAGCCAATTGTGAGGCAGAACTGAGGCGCTTGCAAAATAGAAAGGAGGAGTTGCAGAAGGAAGTGAATAAATTGCATGTAATTGCCGAAAAGGCACAGCTGAGTGCAGTGAAAGCTGAGGAGGATGTTTCAAATATAATGCTTTTAGCGGAGCAAGCTGTTGCCTTTGAACTTGAGGCTACACAAAGTGTTAATGATGCAGAGATTGCCTTACAGCGAGCAGAAAAGTCTGTTTTTAATTTGAATGCCGATACTATGGAAACTATACAAGTACAAGATGTTGTGGCTGTTCCTGAGGAGGAAAAAGTGGTTCAAGGTTTTTCTGGTGATGTCACTGTTGAAAGAGACAGAGATTTGGCAATTGATGATGAATCTTTGCTTGCCAAGTTATCATCTGAAACACTATCTGATAGAACCAGCCAAGTTTTGGAAGACATAACACAGTCTGATTATTTAAGTGATAATGAGAATTCTGTTCAAACAAAAAAGCAGGAGGCACAGAAAGATTTGACTAGAGATAGTTCACCCTTTGCTCCCAAGGCATTACTGAAAAAGTCTTCCCGATTTTTTTCTGCATCATTCTTCTCTTTTACTGAAGATGGGACTGACTTCACACCTGCATCAGTTTTCCAGAGCCTCGTGTTATCTGCACAGAAGCAGTTGCCCAAGCTGATTCTTGGGTTATTGCTAATGGGAGCAGGGTGTGTATGATCGGGCTACATCTTATTCCTGTATTGCTGTTGCTTTTATTTCAATCATTCTAAAAGCAATTTATCTGGTAGGGTAATACATCATGTCATTGGGATATATATGTATGGTATAGGAGTAATGCATATAAAATATTAGGATGACATTTTTGAGCTTTCTGTGCAACATGATTAAGAATATCAAGGCACAATATTCACTGGCTTATTTGAAAACTGATTTTGAAATTAAATTGCTATAATTTGGACTTTGGAAAGGGGATATATGCTTTGATATGTGTCGCCATTAAAGGGAGATTATATTGTGTCTTCTTGCCATGTTAATTTACATTCGCAGGTTTAATATAAAGATTTTACTCAGCATTCAACAAGTGGTGGATTTTATTTCAGGGTTGCCTTCTATGCTAATAGAACAGAGAGGAATGGTCAGCTGCTTCAACAGACAGATGTTATTGTGACCAGTGTTGAAGAAGTTTCCTCTAGTGCAAAGCCTTTGGTTAGACAACTTCAGAAACTCCCCAAGAAAATTAAGAAAATCATTGCGTCATTACCTCATCAAGAGGTTTGTTTTTCTTTGTTTTCCCTCTTATGCTTAATTTTATAAAAAATTTCTGATAGTGTTAGATATTTATCCCAGGTGAATGAGGAAGAAGCATCCCTCTTTGACATGCTCTGGTTATTACTTGCAAGTGTTATATTTGTGCCAATTTTTCAAAAAATCCCTGGAGGTAATTCAGTTGTTATGTTTTCTGTGTTAAGTTGAACATAGTCTGTCAAAGTATAACGAAGTTGCTTGTCTAGGACTCTAGATATTTAAGTTGGAATGTGATTGGGCAACAAACTCCATATATTTTGCTTAAATGAAACTTTGATGCATAAATGATCTCCACTCTTTTTAGCTCATAGTTCCTTTTCTTGGTGACAATTTGTTAGTTTAGTTATGACCGATGTTTTCAAAACCAGACTGATCCTTGAATCAGTGAAGAGAGATGTTAAGGTTTTGAGGTTAGGCCAGAGCCAAACTGGGCTTTTGAACACATATATATTTTTTAAATATATGACATTATTATTAGAATATATGAAAAATATCTCATATCTTGATTATATCTTAGAGTAATTTTGAGTATCTTAGATTATCTCTCTGGATTGGTTTCCATATATCTATATATTTCATGAATTGTTTCCTTGTTTAATTAGGACTTGGAGTCTAATATTATTATAAATAGGGATTAATGCTTTGTAATTTATATCACATCATAATACATCTTTCATATCAAATGAATATCAATTTCAGATTATGTAGTCTTTATTCTCTCTTTTCTTCCTTCCGTACCTATATCCTTACAATATCAACAATTATATTAAAAGTATATATATAAAATACAGTATTGAAGATTAAGATGTCGTTGAAAAAATACAATAAATATAAATAGATACAATATATAATAATAGTACACTACATATTTCGTAATATTATATGGATAAAATATACGAGGGTGAGCCTCGAGCAGTGGTAAAATTGTTCCTTTGTGATTGAAAGGTCACATTCGAATCCGGGAAACAGCTCCTTGGCAATTATGCAAGGGTAAGACTACGTACAAAGATTGCCCTCACCCCATCCTCGCTAGTCAGGGTTTAATGGGGAGTGATTTTTTTATATATAAAATATAATTATTCTGATATAATATAATAATTAATCAAGCCTAGCAACCAATAAATACAATATTATTCTAATAATCACCATCTTGAAGGATATAATATATAGAATGTAATGTGATACTTACACAGCAAACAAAGCTTGGCTTAGTCACTGACTATTGCAGTGTGAGAGTCTCATCTTTTCCCACTCAGGTTTGAATCATGGCAGCAACATTTTGTTGAAAATTATCCTCACTGAAGTGAACTGGTTCAATTGGTCAATCAATGTCCAGTTTGCAGAGACTGGCCAGTAGACTGACTCACGGTTAACCTGGTCTGACTGACCCGTCCGGGTTTGAAAACTGTAGTTATGATATGAAACTGTAATGTCTAGGGCAAACTTTGTCACTCAAATAGAAAATGGTGCTTTTGTCAGAAGCATCTAACCATTATCCGGATATGTCAAATTTCTTTAAAAGGTATACATAATAAAATTGGTTGTCTTACATTAAGATATTGTTGTGCTGATGCTATGCCGTCTATCTTGCAACAATGCGTAGGCAGTCCTGTTCTTGGCTACTTGGCTGCTGGTATTTTGATTGGTCCGTATGGTCTCTCAATTATTCGTCATGTTCATGGGACAAAAGCAATAGCTGAATTTGGAGTTGTGTTCCTTTTATTCAATATTGGTCTGGAGGTAGGGTTTCCTATAAGCTCTTGTTCTACCTTATCTTTGACCATCACCATAATTATAAGAGATAAACTGATGCTTCTGCCTTTTTCTTTTAGCTCTCTGTTGAAAGGCTTAGCTCAATGAAGAAATATGTCTTTGGATTAGGCTCTGCACAGGTGATTTGGAAACTCCATCTTCCATCCTTGTTATTACTCTTCACCTCAAGCTATTTTGTGAAAATCTGGTGATGTATTAGCTGATTATTCTTAGCATCTATGAACAAATGCAGGTTTTGGCAACTGCTGTAGTTGTAGGCTTGGTGGCTCATTATATTTGTGGCCAACCTGGACCTGCTGCTATTGTCATTGGGAACGGCCTTGCATTATCATCCACCGCTGTTGTTCTGCAGGTAAATAACCTGAGCTTTGTGTGCTTTTAATTTTTATTTTTTGAGGGGCTTTAATCTCTGACCTTGTGGTAAACTTTCACACAATCTAGTCAATCTAACAACTCATCTTGAAGTTTCTATTTTATGTTCGTATTAATTAATATCCACCTTTTTAAAAAGCATTAATTGTAAAAAGATATTTTGGGTAAGTAATTGCAAATATTTTTGTTGTAGCTTGCATTGCATCTGTTAATAAATATATTAATGCTTATTCCTAAGTAATAAAGCTTAATGCCTGTAGCTTTATCAAATGCTCCTTTTGAAAAGGTTCTCATCTGAGTTCAATATATGCAGTCAAGGCTGTGTTTGTTCTTTCTATTTTTTTCTTTTCCTTTTATTTCTGGTGAGTCTGTCATGCTGCAATAATTTAATTGAACTTATTTCACAGGTGTTGCAGGAGAGAGGGGAGAGCACATCACGGCATGGACGGGCTACATTTTCTGTTTTACTTTTTCAGGTTACCCATCCAGATACTGAAAGAATTTTCTTGTCAAATGATGTACTAGATTGCAAAGACAATATAATTCTTGTGATATATTATTAAGAGCCTTATGGAGCTTGCAAACTAGAGATTTGTCAGGGGCTTCAAAACCAGAGGGTGCACCATATATACCTCCTCGTCCAAAAGCCCATTTAGGAAGACATTGTTGACATCAAGCTGATGAATTGGGCATTTGTTGCTGAGAGATAGGGTGAGAATTGTGCGGACTGGTACAGGGTACAGGTTTGACAACAGGAGAAAAGGTCCTTGTGTAGTCAAACCTGGGTTGCTGATGGAAGCCCTTCGCAACCAGTTGGACCTTGTACTTATTAATAGAGCCATCAAGGTTCCTTTTGACTCTAAACACGCACATGCAACCAATGGCCTGCCAATGGGGAGGTAAGGGATCTATGGACCAAGTCTGATTGGCAATAAGGGCAGTAATTCTGCCTGCTTAACAGAGTACCATTTAGGGCCAGCCAAGGTTTTTCTGAACGAGGTGGGCTTCATATGTTTCTGTAAAAGAGTGGGGACAAGCCAAGGTTTATTGATACCAAATTTGGATCTAGTCTTTATGGGATGTTGCAATGGAGGAGGGGGAGGGCCAGGCACAAGGGTGAGCCTAGCAGAGAAGGAGCTAGATTCCAAGGATGGGTCAGCATAAGTGGAAGATGACTCAGGGAGTTGTGCTGGATTGATAAGTCGAGGGGAAGGAGGGAGAGGAGGAGTAGAAATAGAGTAAGGAACAAAAGAAGAAGGGAACAAGATAGGTGGATGAGCAGAAAGTGGGAGTGGACTGGGGAAGGTAGGGATAGCAAAAGCATACCATGAGTGGTATGGAAACCTGTACTCATTAAAGAGTACATTTGAAAATATTCAGCCGACCATCAGGGGATAGATACTTGTAGCGTAGGCCTTATGGTTGGAAGAATAACAAAGGGAAACACATTCTTGAAATCTATATTTTTGTTTTTTGTAGGAACGGAGAAAGGGGTAACATGCACATCCAAAGATTTACAGAAATTTGTTGTAAGGTGGGGTGTGAAAGAGTTTGATGAAAGTTACCTCATTTTGCAGAGGCAGAGGGAAGTTTGTTAATTAGATAAACAGTGGAAAGAAATGACGGGTCCCAAAATTTGATTGGTAAGGAGGCATACCCCTTATATGACATAGACAACCCTCTCCTTTTGAGCTAGCTTTGGAGGTTGAGTGTGGCCCAATCCTTTCTCAATTCCATTATGGTATCAAAGCCAATCCCAATCTTAATATTAGGCCACCTGTAGATGTCTAATCCTATCCTCTCCCCTTGAGCTAGCTTTTGGGATTGAATTAAGCCTAATTCGTTCTCAATTCTATTACAATAGAAACATGAAATTAATCATATGTCTTCACCTGACAACTTAAGCTTTTTGGAGAGTTTGTTCATGACATGCTATAAGTTCAATCCTTGTCAAATTCATTCTTCTAAATTAAAAGTTGAATTTTAGCACAAGGTATAGTGAGGGGTGCATTTTCTATATTTCAAGCCCAAAGGGCTATTATGTGAGGGGACCGTGATAGAAATATAAAACCATTTGTGTCTTCATTCAACAGCTTAATGTTTTGAGATAGTTGGTTCATGAAACATACTAAACAAGCATCTTCCTAATGAGTAAGTATGAAAATTTGAAACTAAAATCTGCAGTTGAATTTTGAGGCAGTTGGCTTTGCACATCTTTATATTTTTCCCTTGTGGACTTTATTTAGTATATTAATCTATAGAGATCCTCAACAAGCATCCTCTTCTTTGTCTGCTTTATCTGGTCAATTGTTATGTGAGTTTTCCATTTCTGACATTTATTGTTTATTATTCGCTCTTAATGCCTTTCATGTCTTTTTTAATTGTGTTGCAATATTTTGACCCAAATTGACTTTAACTCTTCTTTGTTTCTATTCAGGATCTGGCTGTCGTGGTCTTGCTAATACTCATACCTCTTATTTCACCTAATTCTTCCAAAGGAGGGGTAACATTTTTCTAAGCACTCCTCTTAAAACACCTATGTTTGACAGGTAGACAATATTGTGGTGATGAGGTATAGAACAAGACTAAGTTGCATGAACTATTAATGAAGTTTAATATGCAGAAAGAAACATAAGAATGTGAATGTGCAATCAAAAATTTCAACCTTACCTTGTTAGTGTAACCACATTGCATAATGACAAAGGTTCTTTGTGAATCGTTTCCCATCCACTGGCCTGAAACTTAATATGGGAATTAATCATTATTTATAGGACTTGCAATTAATTGAATAATTTATTAGTCTGGGAAATAGCCTTTTTGCGTAAATGCAAGAGTAAGGTTACGTATAATCGACCCTCTCCCAAAATTTTGCAAAGTCGAGGAGCCTTGTGCACTAAGAGTTGCCTTTATATTATTTATAATGTATGCACTGAAAAGGTTGAGACACAGATTTATCTTTCTATTTATAGTTGGTTCATGTAAGTGCATGATTGGTAGTTGTTGACGTGACCTTGCTTCTGTGGTTGTCATCATCATTTTTGCCACATGTATAGTCAGCTATTGCTGCCTTTGTTGTCCTCATGGTAAATACCATTCTGTTTCAGGTTGGTTTTCAAGCCATTGCTGAAGCTCTTGGACTAGCTGCTGTTAAGGCAGCAGTTGCCATCACTGCCATAATTGCAGGTGGACGATTGGTAAGTGGTATTCAGAACAGAGGTTTGAGTTCTCTCATCAGTATGGTTTCTTATTATTAATATGTAATCGTAATATGGATAGCTGAGGCTTACTTTTTTCTACTTGAAGGAAATATTACATTTTCTTGTTCTCATGAATCACTATATCTATTGTTTTTATTTAATTAATATTTTGATGTGTGTGCTTTTCAAGTTATATGAGTATATATAGAGCATAATGCTAGGCCATCAATTATATGGGCTCTGTTTGAATGTTGTTTTTAAAAACAGTTTTTTAGTTTTCAGAACAATAAAACAAAAAAACTCGTTTGGTAAGGTCTGTTTTGTAAAAAAAGTTTTGAAAACTGTAACTATTTTTTTGTTTTTAGAATCAAATTTAGAAAATATATCTGAGTTGTTTTTGTTTTCTGTTTTGGTTTTTAACTTTCAAAACAAAAAAAAATAGAAAACAACTGTTTCCATAATTATTCTACAAAACAGTTTTAAGAACAAAAAAACCAGAACACAATCAAACAGACCCATGGTTTTACATGATTTTTTTTTTAATACATGGTTTTACATGATATTAAGAGACCTTTGAAGCACATTCAGATAATTGGCCTATCATGGTGATGGAAGTTACCGACCGGTTTACCATATGTGAAATGCATAGACTTAGTTGCTTATATAGTTTGAGATGAGTTTTGGACTGTAATGGTTTATGAAGTCTAGGTCTTGATGGAAGTTCCTTTATATTTTTTTCTGTTCTTAGTGGGATTAAATGGAGTGGCCGTTTAGGATATTTACTATTAATTGCGTCAAGATCCTAATACTAAAACATTATTGTAAAAAAGCAATATTTTCAAAGGATATTTGATATCGTTCTTTAAGAAGGCATCGCATGGTGGTATTTCAATTGCACATGCAGATTATTCTTTGTACTGAGTTTCTTTTTCCTCTTTACAGCTCCTTCGACCAATATACAAGCAAGTTGCAGAAAATCAAAATGCAGAAATATTCTCGGCCAATACACTCCTTGTTATTCTCGGGACTAGTCTTCTTACAGCCAGGGTATGTGATTATCCTAATGCTTTTCCTTTAATCATTTCTTCTTTGAGTTTTTGCCTGGTTGAAGAGTTTCTTCTTAAGTTTTTGTTTATTGTAGAAATAAATTTTCATGTTTTCAATCATATTATCTTAATTAGAATATTTTGGAAAATGAAAAGGCCAGCCAAGGTTTGATTGTTTGGTTTAAGCATTGTTCTGAAAACTGGACCAACTGGTCGGACCGGTTCGACTATGAACTGGTACATCTATGAACTGGCTATGTACCGCTAAAATTGGATACAGTTTGGGAGTTTGAACTGGTTCAAAGCTTTATCACAAAATGTACTAATTGTGGGAAGTAGGAATCGAACACGGGTATTCAGCATAAGAAGACAACATTTAACCACTGTGCCACTAGTGCTTTTTGTGTAATATTATCAGATTAACTATTCATATATTAAATGTATTTGATTGCTGCACAAAGAAGTAGAAATCGAACATACATGTGTAGCTATAGAAGGCTACATTCAACCACTGTGCCACTAGTTCTTTCTGTGTAATGTTATTAAACTAATTATTCTTATATTAAAATTATGTGATTGCTACATATAGAATCTGAATAATTAGTGCAAACACCTAATCATTAAACATTAGAAATAAATAGCACTTGTGGAAGAAATCACCAATAATTAATTCAATTTCAACATGGCAAATAACAATTCTAGAAGTTTACAATTAATTGTCAGCTTCAATTTTATTAGTTACATTGTCTTGCTTACTTGTTATATTCAAAAATCAAAATTAACTTAGTCCCAAATAATTTTGTACAAATATTTTATTACTTTTCAAATGTAATTTTAATGCTTTTACATACTTCTTATTACTAGAATAATATTTAATTTTAAATATTAAAAAATAACAAAATATCAAGATCCAGTCCCTTTTTCGGTTTGATGACCAATCCGATTTTCAAAATCTTGGGTTTAAGTTTATTATTCTTGTGACCATTAACCTGATCTTGGACTTGTATTTATTTAAAACAGGCAGGGCTTTCCATGGCATTGGGAGCATTTTTGGCTGGTTTACTACTGGCAGAAACTGAATTTTCCTTACAGGTTGAATCTGATATTGCTCCATATCGTGGCCTTCTTTTGGGGCTCTTCTTTATGACGGTAGGTTCTGAATATCAGAATTCACAAATTTATTAATTGTATTTTTCTATTTGTTCAAGTGACAAATATCTATTTTTATTTTAAATTGTGATTACGGTAGCGTTGTGATTCCAAATTTGCTGACAATTGTGGTTGATGCGGCTGCACTTGTGGGCATGATTGCGCTTGCGAACCACAATTTAAAATCATCTAGTCAATTACTTATATGTGAATTATTGTTATGAGAATCTTCTAAAGCAAAGAATTGGCCACTTGAGAAATTATCCATTATAGATGTAATTAAAAAGGAAAATGGTGGATCCGGATAAATAAATGGTGTGCTTTTGATCTGGTAGATAAGGGATAGGTTGCATGTTAAATATTGTTCAAAAAGGAGAAGAATTCATTTTTCGTTATTTACCCTCTTTCTTCTGCAAAAACTTCACGCAAACAGTAGTACACTGTACACTAGATAATATTTGATTTTTCAGCAGAAAAAAACTTCTCTGTTTGACAGATTAGCTTGGCTTCTCTGTTTTCAATCCTTCATTAAACACTAGCACTGACTGTGATCTGATTATCATCCCACTAAAACATAGTTCAAAATGTAGAATTCAATGCGGAAAAGAAAAAAAGTATTCAAATCATTGAATAATATCTTATTAGTATCTTCTATTTTAGGAAATAGATTCCTTAATTTTAGGGATTGCATATCTGCAATCAAGTAGTTAGATTTGTGTAGGTTTTATTTTGTTTCCTTTTTATTAGTGATTGTAAATCCTATATACAATGAATGGGGCTGAGGTATTTCCTTTAAGCCATTTAGAAATTCCTTTCAACACAAAGTTGAAAATTTTAGAAATCAAACTATTTCCTTTAACTAGGTCCACAGAGTCACTAACAACTCAAAAAATTTAAAAATTTAAAAGTTTCGATTCTACAAAAGGGTTTGCAAAAAAGAATTCAAAGTTCTGGATTAAAGCATCACTTTTAGTTGGATTATCCATTAGTTCAATAACAACTGAGAAAAAAATTCAGAATTTCAAAGGCTTAAAAAGGGGGAATGGTTTAAGTAGAGTATTTCTTAGGGCTAAGATAGATAAATTGTAAGTGTTTCTTGTGGGCTGATTATTTGACAATAGGGATAGGTTAATGATTCAGGGTCTGTTATGGATAGAGCTTTACTCTACCACAACAGCATAACCAAGCCTTATCCAACTAGGTGGGATTAGGGGTAGAGCTTTATATTACTTACAAGAAAACTAAACTATTTCGGATGTGAACAAAAGGCTTGTCCAAGCACATTCTGAACTTTTGTTGATCGAGAATCTAGATAATAACCATTGTGGTACGTTGATCAGAAAATTTTGATTAGAAAATGTTGATTGCTTAACTATGAGTTTGTCTTAGGATTCTTACAACTATTGTTGCTAATGGCTTAATGTTCAAGCCTGTTTCAATTTGCATAATTAATAGCACTCATTTTGTGATTTTCAGGTTGGAATGTCAATTGATCCAAAACTTCTTGTTTCAAACTTCCCAGTCATCACAGGGACACTGGGACTCTTAATATGCGGCAAGACTATCTTGGTTTCTTTGATGGGTAGAATCTTTGGGATTTCCCTCATTTCTGCCATTAGAGTTGGTCTTCTTCTTGCTCCCGGTGGAGAATTTGCATTTGTGGCTTTTGGTGAAGCTGTTAATCAGGTTTTTGTGCTTGAAAACTTTTTGTCCTACCAAGATTTTCATGTTTTATAAGTACTAGTTTAACTCTGTTTTTCATATTCATGTAGAATAAGTCATTCTGCTGGAGTTAGTTTAATAAATTGATAAATAATAATAGGTGCTGGGCAGACAAGTGTTGATAAAATAAGGTTTTGTCTCTTGCTGTTTTTTGCATGATGTATTGTAAGAGTTATCAAATCAGAGAACCATTATATCCTTATTATTGGGCAGAATTGTACGTTTTTCTTTGTTTTGGTGTTCGGCTTATACAACATTAATGGGAATTCAACTGGTGGATATTCAGAGAAATTGTGGGGCTTTGCTAGCTTGATTTTTATTCAGATGAATTTTTTTTTCCCTTTTTCCTTTTTTTATTTTGTGTTACCTTTGGTTTTGATGGTTGATCATCCTTGTAAGTTGAAAATTATGAAATATAGATTGGTGTATTAGTAGCTGCTAAGAATTTTTATTTTTATGATAATCTGCTGATAAAACTATTGTTTTGCTAATTGGCACTTCTGTAGGGTATAATGTCTTCCCAGATGTCCTCTTTGCTGTTTCTTGTTGTCGGCATTTCAATGGCCATCACGCCATGGCTAGCTGCAGGAGGCCAGCTGATTGCTTCCCGTTTTGAGCAGCATGATGTTAGAAGCTTATTACCAGTAGAAAGTGAGGTAAAAGCTCTTAGATGAGTTGCCGACCTGTAATTTTATTAATTGTAAATGGTCATGGATTTTCAGCTTTAGCAATATCTATGATGAGGCTCTCTTTCTCGGAAGCTGACTTCTTACAGCTAAATAGATTATTTGCTGTGTTTCATAAAAGTCTTGCTGTGCGGGTACAATGTAGCTGCATTGTATTTAGACGTTAGACAGTACTGAAAAATATTATAGTTGTTCCTCAAACTGACATCATGTCATATCAAGGAGTCAGGGACATGTTCACTGACCTTTGAAAAATATATTAGTTAAATTATCTTAATCCTTGTTTGTTAGTGAAATTCCTTAATTCTAAATTCCTGAAACTTCATCCATAGATCCAAAAAAACTATGATGCATGTACTATTGTTAATAGTACATAAAATTTGTTTTAGATTGGCTTAATTATTCTCTAGTTCCCTGAATGTAGTTCAGATTGATAAATTTCATGAACTTCTTAATTCTTTAATTTGTGAAATCGATTCAATATCCCCCATTTTTTATGACTGGTAGTCTGTTGCTGATGTTGCTAATTTTTCATCTTGTTTTACATATATATAGACACACACACACACACACACATATCTGATAAGACAGTAATAAAATGATTGGACAACAAATCACTTATTGCACCTATATATATTGTAGAGTTAGTTATAACCTGGCCTAAATATTGAGTTTCAAATATAGTTTGGCAACTCATTTTAAATGTTTGACATTTCTTATCAGAAAAAAGCAAAGACGGTATAAGTTGAAAATTATAAAGCTAACTAAGGTGGTAAAGTTTTTTATGAAGTCAGTTGACTGCGGTTTCGATAAGTCCTCACTGCCTTATAAAACCTTTGTACTGATACTGATCGTGTTTCTGGATGGAATTCTTAGTCATAGAAATGATATTCGAAGGGAAATTTTGATATCCTTCATACTTTTTTAAAATCAGGCAATGTCCTTTAAAATATTTTTGGGGTATATATTTTTTGTCACATGATTAACTCTTTTTTTATCATTTAACTGCATTTTGTTCATTGTATATAGTTTAGTTTTAGGTTTCTAGCTTAAAAATTATAGCTTTTAATTTTAGGAGATTATGTAGGAGCGCTTATTATACCAGTGGTAGACAATGGATGTTATGGGTTTATCATTTTTAATCTTTGATTTGGAGTTGACATGAAAGTTTAATAGTTGACTTCTTTTCTGATGACTTCTTTTACAGACAGATGATCTGCAAGATCATATCATTATTTGTGGATTTGGACGAGTAGGCCAGGTAAATTCTCTCTTTTTTGGTTTGATTAATTAGTTCACATAATTGATTTAGGGGTAACAGTTTACCATTGTGTTATTTTCAGATCATTGCCCAACTTCTTTCTGAGCGACTTATTCCGTTTGTTGCACTAGACGTGAGGAGGTAACACATCATGCTAATTAAAACTATTATCCTCTTTTGTAATTGTTTCTTGTGGATGAATGACTTGATATCTATTACTAGGTTTTTAAGCTTAATGAATGTTATTTCTATTGTAAAAGAAAGCAAAATTACATGCATAATATTTGTTATTTCTGAATTCTGCCTCCCAATGGGGAAAAGAAAAGAAAACAATTACGATACTCTTTCTGTATTTTTAAGTCACCTAGATGAGCCTAGATATGATGTCTGTGATTGTGCCTTACTTTCCTTCACAATAGGTTTGTGTTTGTAGTTTTCTATACTTAGAGCACCACAATAGTTAGTTTCTAGCTCTATGATGGGACAATATTTGAATGTGTTACAAGAAAAATAATTGACATGCCATGACACAATTGTGTCAGGCAGTGATCTATATATATTACGTACATGGAGAAATTATAGGACACCTAAAGGCTAGACTCTAGAAGTACCCTCAAGTAATTTCACATGTTCTCTTAACGAAATGTTTATCTAGATATACTATAGTTTTCTCCAAAGATATGTGTGAGCTATTATACATTGTGTGCAATTTTGGATAGGAAACAGCGGGCGATGAACTAACTTGATTTCCATATTTGCTAACGTCTTCAGTGACAGAGTGGCAGTTGGGCGTGCCCTGGATCTCCCCGTTTACTTTGGAGATGCTGGTAGTCGAGAGGTAGTGCACATGACTTCAGTACGCAAGACATATACATGTTCTTACCCGTTATTCTTTTTAATGCATGACTAGGTCCTGCATAAGGTTGGCGCTGAAAGGGCATGTGCTGCAGCAATAACTCTTGATACACCTGGTGCAAATTATAGAACAGTTTGGGCTCTGAGCAAGTACTTCCCAAATGTGAAGACCTTTGTTCGTGCTCATGATGTTGATCATGGATTGAATTTAGAAAAGGCTGGAGCTACTGCTGTAATATTCTCATACCTATTCTAGTATTCCCGTTTTGATTACCTTATGGTGCAATTCCAAAACAGTGGGAAAAGAGTCTTGTTCTTAAATCTTGCTTTTTTTTTTTTTAGCAAAATTGGCTATTAGTGGAAGAATGCTTACTTGAATTTTCCTTTGCTTGCAGGTTGTGCCAGAGACCTTGGAACCAAGTCTTCAACTAGCAGCTGCTGTGCTTTCTCAGGTAAATCAATTTTCATTGAATACCCTATTTTTATTGGATCAGAAATATTGACCTAATAGAAAATATTTTTTATGTGTCTCACTGTCTCTTTTAATATCTATATTAATACTCTGATTACGGCTGACACAAGAGATAAATGACTATGGTCATGTCTTGTGATTGAATCTTGGTCTCATTGGCTGAACTATTGTTACCCTTCATATAAATAATTTACTTGAGTCTTAGTCAACTTTTCTTAGAAATGGTTTGAACATATTTTTGTTCTTTACTGCATAGTAAGATTGGCTCCACATCTTTGTTGTCAACACTAGCTGTCGTGTTCATAAATTCAAAAGGATGGGGAAAAAATGAAACGAAAATGTCAGATGATGTTTAATTTAGGCATACCTAGAATCCAAATACCAAACATTCAAAGGAAAGGTTTTCGTTGTAATTTTTTTACTAGTTTATGAAGCTATGGCACAATGCTATGGCATGGAGATGGATGATCTTTAGTTTGCTAAGCATTTTTTTTCTCCAGGCTAAACTTCCTACATCAGAGATTGCAGCAACTATAAATGAATTCAGATCCCGACATCTGGCTGAGCTCACAGAGGTACATATTCCTTTTACAACTCATGCAAAATATGCACTACTTGCACCACTCGTGTATAGTTGATGTCTGAATTGATGTATATTATTTTTGTTCTATTTATGCAGCTGTGTGAATTAAGTGGAAGTTCTCTTGGTTATGGATATAATAGAATTATGAGCAAACCCAAGTCTCAATCCCCAGATTCATTAGATGAGACGCAAATCTCTGAAGGGACACTGGCAATATGAAGATTACCCCATCTGTATACAGACTAGAAGGCAAAAGAAAACAAGAGTTAGGAAAAAAGAAAATAATTGTGAAAAAATGTATAGCAGATTATAAGTTCAATTAATATGTACAGAAATATTGCCTAATAGAACGAGATGCAATAGTTTTATGTCATTGTCATCTTTTATCTTTCGCCAGAAAATTTTGGTTCCCAACCTTCGCAAATTTCTGTTAACGATGATATTCCCTTTTGCTGTTGTTGTATGTGCTATTGGCATTGTGTCATTTGCGTTGGCTTTCGAAAAACATGGTGTCGTGTTTTCAGTGCTTTTCAAGAATATGCCAAAGCACTGGACAATTAGTGCAACTCCTGCTGGTCCATTACTTCATGGTCCACGAACTCATCCTAAACTTTTGGTTAACGCTATATGGGAATTTATTACTTAAATATTTCTACTAAAATTTATGCCAACCCCGAACTTGCTTTTGTTAATGCTACAAAGCCTAGTCATATGTTCAAGGTTGAGAAATATTAAATCTCTTACAATGTGTTTGATGTTTTCTAGTCAATGAAACAGAACGGAATAAGTAGGGATAGGCTAAAACAGAAAAAGAAGGAACTGAACAAAGTTGGCTTTTTGACCCTTATGCCCCTTAATTAATAATTAATTACCAAATTGCCCCTCATTCAAAACTATTTCGAAAATTTACCCTCCCCAACAAACATAACACCAATCTGTCCCTGTTTGACCGTTGACCGCGAAGCCTACCCGGGTACACCATTACCTACCCGGGTAAATTTTGAAACTTTTTATCTACCCGAGTATGTAAGGGTGTACCCGGGTAGAGTTCTTGAATCTGGGAAAATGTTTGAATTATTTACCCGGGTACGGAGCAGTGTACCCGGGTAAACATCGACGGTAGGATTTTAAAATACCCCAGCAGCCCCATTTCGAAAACCCACAAAAGGGGTACCCGAGTAGAGCTGCTGGAGGAGTGTCATCTTGAGCGATTTCAGGCATAATCTTGCACTAATTCGTCTTGTTTGTGATCATCATTCGCGGACCTTGCAACCTCTCTGCCTTCTACCGATTGAAATCGATCAAAGGTGAATTTTTTTTTCAGTTTTTTCAATTATGTTATGATTTCTGTTCTGATTCATTGTATTTTCGTTTATATCATTTGATTCTGTCCGAATTATTTTATCAATTTGTCTAACCCTAACCCTGAATCTAACCCTAACCCTAACCCTAACCCTAACCCTAACCCTAACCCTAACCCTAACCCTAACCCTAACATGTATCTAATTTCTGATTTTGGTTATTTTTTCAGTTTAATAGTGTGACACAATGACCTCTCGACGCGTTTCAAAGCTGCCAGTGACCCATTCCGAGAGAAGAACCAAGAGTCGTCACGATGGGTCGTCATCCTCTCAGCCCCAGGCTGCTTCGAGTCAGGCTCCGGACTTGACGTTCGGATATTTGTTTGAGGATGACATTCCTTCACACGAGAAGTTCGTGAAGTTTTTCATGACCCGGAAGATCTGCGAACCGAAATCACTGGATTCGGCATTCTTCAACCTAGAGCGTTTTGACATCGTGCCGCTTCTTGAGCAGACACATTTACTTCACCTGGCGGAGATGCGGTGCCCATACTCGGAGGTTATGGTAAGAGCCTTCTACCAGAACCTTGGCTACTCGCAAGGCGAGCTGACTTCCCGTGTCTGCGGGATTGATATCATCATGACTGCTCTTATCTGGACGGAGCTACTGGGGTTCGATTTTGATGGTGTCACAGGAGCAGCACTATATGATGGAGACAGCCATCATATATTTGGTGATTATAACCGGGAGACCATTGTTACAGAGACTAGGAGGGCAGACGCTGAGCCCGGTCATTTTGCTCATTATCCTGTTAGCAACTTGTCAGTTTCTGCTCGCATTCTTCATTATGTGGTGACACATATTATTTTCCAGCGCCCGCATAATCTGAATCATTAAATAAACGGTAGAATACATACTCATTATAGCCGCACAAATGACATTTGAATCCAACTGTCTATGATCCTGTGCTAGGCCTTGATTTAGGCATGTGTGACCTTGACCCCATTTACGGACCACCCAGTTAGCTCCCTTCTTCGGCTTAATTGCCCTCATATACCAGGGACAACCGTCAGCATGGTTTTTACACTTCATAACAAATCTTGACTCGTCGCTTTTTTCAACTATGGCTGTCCTGCGCCCCTTCATACAATGTATCTTCACAGCATGTTGCAATTCTGGTTTGGACCCAAATTCTTGTTGCACAAATAACGGATCTCCTAACTTCCAACCTCCGTGCAAGTCATCATCGCCATATAGGATCTCCAACTCGTCATTAGGGTGCGCCCAGTTAATGAATGAATAATGTTGGCTTTCATTCCAGAATGGCTCCTCAGACCCTGCATCTAAAGATCATGTCAAATTTAATAACTTACCACAAATAATAAATTGTCTAAAGCAAATATTCAAATTTAATAACTTACCACTACTGACTGGGTCGACATGAAGTGGTGACAAGGCTGGGGTACCGAGACTTACGGCGCTCATGTCAGCCTCAAAATTACCGTCCACATCAGTGTCTGACGAATCACCTTCTGGAATAGCACTTTCAGGTTCTCCCTCCTCTTCGCTGTCCACATAGTCCTCGTCTTCATCCTCTTCATCCTCATCCCATGCTACCTGAGGAGGTGCAGAAGATCGTACAACTGTATCTTCTTGACCGGTACAGTGTGCAGTAGTGGTTGTATGCACCGGTAAAGATGAAGATTGTCCAACATCAACTTCAACATATATCTCAATATATTTTAATACTTTCCATTCAACAAACGCATCTGTTACGAACTCCACATCTTCATCATCATTTATATCGTTTCCAATGTAGTATATTGTATCCATATCCACTACAGTCTCTAACCTGGCTATCATGCGGTGGATGGAATGTATGCCTTCTGACCCCATTTTTTGAAGAATTCTCTCCTTCAGTTCATTGCATGTAGTGCCCACTTTGATTTTCATCGTTTTTGTTTTTCCTTCAAATCGGACACCGTTCGGACCTTCAAAATGCCTCCCATTGTAGTAAACAACTATAGGAACCATGTTTGGACTTGAACTCATCTTTCACACAAAAATTAGATCTAGGTTTTGGGTTTGGAGGTTGGTTCAGATTTTTTAGCACAAAATGGGAGTGTGGAGATGTAATCTCAATGTCCCCCCAAGATTCAGCTTTCTGAAATGATGAGATGAAATATGTGTGATGTTTCGGATTAGAGAGGGTAAGAGAGAAAGATTTGGGGTTTCAAAAACCCTATACCTCGCAACAATGGTCGAAACCCATACATATTGGGGTTTCTGGACGCGATTTACCCGGGTACACTGCTACGTACCCGGGTAAATAATTCAAACATTTTCCCAGATTCAAGAACTCTACCCGGGTACACCCCTACATACTCGGGTAGATAAAAATTTTCAAAATTTACCCGGGTAGGTAATGGTGTACCCGGGTAGGCTTCGTGGTCAACGGTCAAACAGGGGCAGATTGGTGTTATGTTTGTTGGGGAGGGTAAATTTTCGAAATAGTTTTGAATGAGGGGCAATTTGGTAATTAATTATTAATTAAGGGGCATAAGGGTCAAAAAGCCGAACAAAGTTTTCTTCTTCTTTTTTCTTTGTTTTGAAGATTAGTGAAAAAAATTTAATGGAACTTAGGAGTTAAATCATAAAGGATTATCAACTGTAATTTTTAACTTAAGTTTATCTCGAGCCATTTCATTCAAATTTTGGAAGGAAGGGAAATTTGTATCCCAATCAAAAAAGGGGATAGTTTCCTTTCCTATATGTTATTAAACTTGCAATTATGGATGATTATTTCCTTTTCTTTAATTTTTTTTTATTTCCTCCGTTATCTTTATTACTCAAGAAAGAGAAGTGTTTAATATATTTTTTTATAGTTTCAAAACTTGCTTTTTTTTATATTTACTTTATTCTTTAGTATTATGAATGTTGTTAAATTGACATTTAAAATAAAAAAAAGGAGGAGGAGGATTTGACATTTATAAGAACAAGGTTTAAGTTTGGGAAAAATTTTTAATACTTCGGAGAATCGAACTCGGTACTTCTTTTTATTAAAAAAAAGTTCAATTTTCTTTCTATCTTAACTCATGCTTTTCTTTATAATTCCTTTTAAATCTTAAAAATTTCTTCCTTTTGGCATGAATGTATCTACAGCAAGAGTACATGCTTACTCTTCAATTTTCAACTATAAAATTCATCAAAGCACATTATAACTAGTTTCTTCCTTTTTAACTACAAAATTCAGCAAAGCTCAAAACTAAAAAGCTTGATAATTATTCACACACACACACACAAAATCTTCATATTTGTCTGTTTATAATGTATTAAATGAATTTAGTTGGTAATAATTTATTTTATCAACCTTCTTTGGATTACTTTCGTGTGTTATATTCCGAAAACAACTACTGTTTTGTTTTCTAAATTATGAACCTAAGAAGATTCCCATCTAATATGTAAATTATATCTTGTCACACAATCAGTTAAACTTTTGTGAACTGCAAGTCAATAAAAAAACCCAATTACGTGTTTGGATTTCATTTTCAACATTTTTAATATAACAACTACCATCTTGATAAATAAAACTAAAATAATTATTCCTTCATATCTTATCTTAACAAATAAAATCAAGACAATTATTCATTCATGTTTCATTATTTCACTTCATTTATGAACATTATCTACTTTTCTAATTTTAAAACAAACATTCAATTTATTGGCATCTTATAAAATCCTAGCAAATTTTTTTTTGGTAAGCAAATCCTAGCAAATTTAGCATAGTGAATAATTAACTAAAAGTTTAGGATTTTTTTTTTTCATACATAAAATCCTGAACTTTATTACTAACTTAATTTTTTTTTTTTAGCTTACCGACGTTATTAGTGAACCATCTATAATCTCATTCAGAAATTCTCAAAAAGATTGAGGAATCTTCTCTGTCTCTCTCTGGTGAGATATTGGTATCTAACACTGTGTAATAATTTTTTTAGAAAAAATGTTTATCTTTTTTAATAACACAATTTATATCTTTTTACTTTCATAAAGAGGTGGAACCCACACCTTTATTTTTTTTTCAACTCTCTTTCCTCCTTTACCTGTCTCTTTCTTTCTCTTAAGATGACACAACTTTATATCCTTTAGAAATAACAAACACTTTTTCTCTTTTGTTTTTTAAAAAGGCCTAAACTTTTATTATTATTTTTTAAATCAATTAACGGTTTCAATTTCCCACTTCAAATCAGTGAAGAGAGAGGTACATATATCAGAGAGACATTAATGTGGATTCAAAATTTGAAACCCAAAAGAACCTCTTTCTTCTTCAATTTCAATTTCAATTTCAACTTCAACTTGAACACGCTCACAGTATTTGAATACGAAACATGGCACCCGAATTGGTTGAAACCCGTGAAGCGGTTCGGAGCTCCGAATGTGAAGATTCGGAGCTGGAGAAATTGGAGTCTGATTTGAAGCCAATGGCTCACAAGATTCTCGATTACCGATCAACTCTTCCGGATCAGCTCAAGACCACACTCCTTTCGGTTCTCGATGCCCAAAGACCCTTTCTTCCACAACTCAACTCAACTCAAGGTCCCTTTCTACTTTCTAGGGTTTTTGCTTAATTCCCCAATTTGATGGGGTGACTCAAAAATTTAGATTTTAAGTGAACTCAATTTTATTCTTTTTTTATGTTTTTTTGGACTTGTGGATTTTGTGGGGTGGCCCAAAAATTGAGAATTCTAGTTGAATTTTCAATTTTAAGAAGAAGAAAAAAAGGAGATTGTTTGGAATTTAATGTTGTGCTCGAGTTTGATCATCTGTGATTTCATTTTGGTGTGAATAGAATTTGTGTTCTCTGTTTGAATTTGTTTATGCAACGCAATATGATTATGGTGTGCTTTTTGGCTCTAAGGTAGTTTCTTCAATATCATGTGTTTTTAGGGGATATGGTCTTTTTCTTTTTCTTTTTTCTTTTTTCAATTTGGCCCTTTTTTTGGGTATATGAATTTCGAGTATAATCTGGTTTGTAACTGCTCCAACAGTTTATGATACTTTGTTTAATTTCTCGGTTGATTGAGATGTCCAATAGTTATGGCTTTAGAGCTAACTCTCAATTGGTTTCACATCACATGTCTCACAAACTACTAGAAGGGACTTCCAGTAGCAAAGTCCAATATCAGTACATGTGGAATGAACTTAGCTGTTTATTTACCGGGGATGTCATAAATTGCTAAGAACTGAACAGGAAATCTTTAAGATAACGACTTAGGAATTATCACTTGAATGATGTTACCAATACAGAGAAATGGTTATCATTTGAATTTTCTATGAAAAAAAAAAATTACCATTTGAATCATCTTTTATATTTCTTAAATCAATCCTGCTTTTGTGTCAGCAAGCATGTGACGTGAGGCAATAGTAGCAATATAATTTAGTCTTGTGCCATTTGGTAGTAGTAGCACCATCAGTGTCAGAAATGATCCTTGTGCCATTTGTTGGTTAAGACTTGTTCTGTCATGCTATACTTGTTTCTTTAACTCTTTCAAGGTGCAATATATTTTAGTTTTTTTTTTCCCACTGTATATTTGACATGTTGACCGGGTTTATATTGTACTGGTGCATCAGAACAAAACATTTCTGGAGAGGAAAGTTCATCTGCACCTGAAGATCCAGAGACTGCCAAGAAACTAAAATTGCTAAATGAAAAGATCTCAAGCAATTGCTCTGCTATGCCAATTGTATTGAAAAGGATGAAAGACTGCATTGCGAAAATTGAGAAGTTAGATTCATACAATGCTGCAATCATACATCCAGCCTTCAAAAGGAAAAAGACTGGATAAGCATAATGTATCATAGTTTAGTTATTTATCTGAACATCTAAGAAGATAGGTGATTCAGCATTGATGACCAACTTGGATTTGGTCAATGAAGCCACATGTTCACATTTTCCTTATGCTGCAAGTATGAAGAAAGCTTCGTTTCAGATGTATTACATTGTTTGGCCATTTGTGATAATATTTTTAAAGCATACACTGCCTGCAGGACAAGGAAGGAGTGAGATGGTGAAGAGAAAGTTTGGACATTGTATAATCCTTATCCCGTTCTTGTGTTAGCTTGATCATTGATTGTATGTCATCTTTTTCATTTGTTGAACTTATTCTTTGACCTATTGTAAGCTTGGTCATTAGGAGATTTATCCACTTCAATTTACCCAACTGGGGTGGTCATTACTTTAGTTCAGACATAGTTCATTGCTTAATATGCTATAGGATTCTGTTCACCTATCGCATTTTGAGTTACTTTCGGCCAGACTTAATATTTTTTCTAAATTGTCTCATAAACAACCTTAAAAAGAAATCGAATCCCAAAAATTATGTAGAGGAAAGTGTGGACTTGTTGCAGAAGAGCTTAAAATTTGGGCAATCACAATTATTGTATTGATGGTTTTTTTCTTTTTATCCTCAAGTAGTTACCTTTTCTTTTTCAGAAATAATTCTCATCTTATTTAAGTACTTGCAGGAAGAAAAAAGCCAAAATATTATTGTTTTCTGGAAGCTAAAATTTTTAGCTTTTAAAAAAATAGAAGTCAAACAAAGTTAAATTTGCCCTAACCCTGATCTCAACTCATCAAAGTCACATCTCATTAATGTCGTTGTCAACCCCATTATAATTTTTGGTTGACTTTCTTACTAGATTATTGCTGCTGGTAGGAATGTAAAAATGGTTAACATGACACGACTATATGTAACACAAAAATGATATGAATTTTTTGTGGATTGACATGATAATACGTATAATACGTAAATTATGGGTTAAAATGATAATTGACAAAAAAAAAAAATGTGTCAAAAAAAAAAAATTAAAATTAGTAAAAAAAAATTAAAAAATAATACCGGTCAATACAAATTTGACACAACACAACACAAATTTTTCGCACGTCATTTTTTTTAACACGGATATGACATAAATTTTTTTGTGGGTCGAACACAAATTTTCTTGTCATATTACGGGTCGACCGACGTGTCATAACTTATTTTGACACTCTTAACTGCAGCTATCCTACAGTCATAAAAATTTGTTATCACACAACCATTTTGTTGTGAGAATTATTTCTATTTTTCAATCATATAAGTTGTGACTTATAAGGATGAATGTAGGTTGTTTCATCCATTTATGGTCAATTTAGCCAAAAAAAAAAATAGTAAAATAGGTTGAGTGAGAATGATATTGTGTTTGTAATTTTAATTTATTTCAGTATTATATTAGTCTTTATCATTTTAATTTTTTAATCCTTCAATTACAAAACTATGTCATTTCGATGAATGTTAGACAAATTTTCTATATAACTTTAGAAATTTATTCCCATTATTAAACACACAAAAAGAGTAGTGTTTATTTTACATTACTTTGTTGATCACAGATTCACAGTTGAAATGGACTACAAGAAGAAAACACAATCAATTTGGTGGAAATAAGCTGAATAAAAATTAATAAAATAACAACCTAAGGCTTGATATATAATTTTATTATTATCAGTGAAGTTAACCCTAACACAATCAATTTGCTCAAGCTGTTTGCTGTGAAGAACCCTAACAAAATCTGAAGCTGACAACACATGTTGAAAGCAACAACGATGTCAATGTCAAGAAGGTTAAGGTTTCTTTCAAGCCCCAATTTCATTCTTTGCTTCTCTTCGACTTCAAGGGTAGACTCTCGATCTCATTCTCATTCTCAGTCTCAGTCTCCATTCATTAACAAAGCTGATGATGCTGTAGCCTCATTCAATCGCATGCTCCGTATGCGTCCTACCCCACCCATTATCGAATTTGGCAAGATTTTAGGATCCCTTGTGAAGATGAAGCATTACAACATTGTTATTTCCCTTTCTAAACAGATTGAATTCAGTGGAATGGCGTCAAACATTGTTACTTTGAGCATGTTGATAAATTGTTTCTGCCACCTGGGTCAATTGAATTTTGCTTTTTCTGTATTAGGCAAGATTTTCAAGAGGGGTTATCATCCGGATGTCATAACCTTGACAACACTTTTGAAAGGTTTTTGTCTTAATGGTCAGGTTAAGAAAGCACTGAACTTTCATGACAATCTTGTAGCACGAGGAGTTCAGTTGGATGAAGTTAGTTATGGGATCTTGATTAATGGGTTATGTAAAATTGGAGAGACAAGAGCAGCCATGCAGTTGCTGAGAAAGATCGAAGGGAAATTGGTTAAGGCTAATGTGGTAATGTACAACACAATTATTGATAGCCTATGCAAGGATAAACTTGTAGCTGATGCATGTGATTTATATTCTGAAATGGCTGTCAAGAAAATTCATCCTAATGTTGTCACTTTCAGTTCTCTGATCTATGGCTTTTGCATTTTGGGTCAATTGAAAGATGCAATTGGTTTGTTAAATGAAATGCCATTGAAAAACATCTACCCTGATAATTATACCTTTAATATGTTGGTTGATGCATTATGTAAGGAAGGAAAGGTTAAAGAAGCAAAAACTATGTTAGCTGTGATGATGAAAGAAGGTATAGAACCTGATGTTGTCACTTATAGTTCATTAATGGATGGGTATTGCTTAGTTAATGAAGTGAACAATGCAAAATACATATTCAACACTATGGCCCAAAGGGGAATGACTCAGAGAGTTTGGAACTATAATATCATGATTAATGGATTATGTAAGAATAAAATGGTGGATGAAGCCATGTCTCTCTTTAGAGAAATGAAATGCAAAAATATGATTCCTGATACGGTTACCTACAACTCTCTTATTAATGGTTTGTGCAAATCAGGCAGAATCTCTTATGTTTGGGGTCTTATTGATGAGATGCATGATAAAGGTCAACCAGCTAATGTAATCACTTACAATTCCTTATTAGACTCTTTATGCAAAAGCCATCATCTGGATAAGGCAATTGCATTATTCAAGAAAATTAAAGACGAGGGAATTCTGCCAGATATATGCACATACAATACACTTATTGATGGACTATGCAAAGGTGGAAGACTTAAGAATGCACAAGAGGTTTTTCAGGATCTTTTGATCAAAGGCTATCATATAAATGTCTGGACGTATAATATTATGATCAATGGGCTGTGTAAAGAGGGCTTGTTTGATGAAGCCTTGGCTTTGATGTCAAAAATGAAAGACAATGATTGCATCCCTGATGCTATAACTTTTGAAGTAATAATTCGTGGTCTCTTTGAAAAAGATGAGAATGATAAGGCAAAGAAACTTCTTCGGGAAATGATTGCCAGAGGTCTATTGTAAGAGTAAGACTAGGTGAGATGCTTTCTAGTCACACATCAAGTAATTTTCAATTTTTTGTGACAACTAGCCAATCTTTATTTGCTTTGATAGTTACGCATCAAAATCAAAAAGAAGATGAACTATACAATGGGCTCACTATTACTTTAATTTTGATAAAAACATATATTGTTAGGTTCATCTTGATATTGTAATGATACAGATCATTGACTTTTTTGGTACTTGACGTGGCTTTCCTCTTTCTTCACAGTAAAATTATTATTTAAATCATCTTCACTTTTCTGAAACAAATCATGCATTTGTCTGAGCATCAGCATGTCTAAGTACTATGTTCTTGCCCTTTGTTTTTCTGAAGCTATTTCTTTAATCTGCCTGCCTGACTTGAAATATTACTTCATTCCCCTGCAAAATTCTGAGTGGTGAGATAGACTTTGGAATTTTTTCTTCTGTAAACTTAAACTGGCCTCTGGGCATCATTGGTTACCATAATGATGATTGAAACTTATTATAAAGTTTATAGTGCATTTTTTAATACTGTCATGTGGGCAGAAGTAAATATTGTTTTCTGAAAATTTAGAGTGTTGACTGATAATATTTTGTTAAAACGTATGCAAAGCCTCTTTTCTATTCCCTTGATGGCTGGCTTCTTTTTTATCTTTCCTCCTACCTTTATTTTCTTGAGCTAAGTGCTAGCATTTGTTTTTCAATGTGTCATTACTGTTAATGTGACATATGGGTATTGTTGTTCTGATTGAATTTGTTTATGCAACTCAATATGGGTATTGTTGTTCTATGATTATGGTGTGGTTCTTGGCTCTAAGGTAGTTTCTTCAATTTAAAGTGTTTTGGGGGATATGGGTTTTATGTAAATTCGGCCTTTTTGTTTGGGTATATGAATTTTGAGTATTTGAAATGGGTGCTGTTTGTTTGAGATTGCTCAAATCTGGTCTTTGGTGTTGCAATTGCACCAACTGTAATTTCTCGGTTGATTGAGATTTCCAATAGTTATGGCTTTAGAGCTGAGTCTCATTTGTCTCTCATCACATGTCTTTTTTTCTGATTGGTCAGATGAGTTTTGGATTTTTTTATTTTTTTTTTGGTAAAATGAGTTTTGGATCTTTAAAACCCAATGTTGCTGCTGGAGGTTATCATTTTACTTATCATGCTCAGATTAGTGAAATCTGAATTAGTTTCTTGAGTAGGGTAATGCACATACGTTGTTGTGTTAGATGCATGAAAAGTGTGGCAAATTTTGTAAGATTAATTTCAACTATCAGAAGGTTATTAAATAAAATTAGTAGGTTTGCTTTTATAGGAAAGAAAACCTAAATTATTTGCTGGTTCTGGTGACCTGCATGTGGTAAAGCAAGGTTTTTTATTTTTTTATTTTGTAACATAAGAATATCAGTCATATGGAATGAACTTAGCTGTTTATTTACAGGGGATGCTATAAATTGCTTAGAACTGAAAAGGAAACCTTTAAGATAAAGACTTAGCAATTATCACTTGAATGATCTATTACCACAAAAGAGAAATGGTATTAATTTGAATCTTCTACGAAAAATGAAATTACCATTTGAATCATATTTCACATTTCTACAATTAATCCTGCATTTGTGTCAGTATCAGCAAGCATGTGTAAGTACTTATGTTCTTGCCCTTTGTTTTTCTGAAGCAATTTCTCTTGCCTACCTGACTTCAAATCTAACTTCATTCCCCTACAAAACTTTTGAGAGATGAGATACAAATTGTGAATTTTCTCTGGTGTAAAATAAAATTGGCCCAAGGCATCTGCTAGAGATATATAAAACCATTAATGTTGTCTCTACCATCAGTTTAAGCTTTTGGGTAAATTGGTTCTTTACATGGTATCAGAGTCTGGTTGTCACGGGTTTGATCCTCACCGTCCCTCATTTAATTAATAATTAATTTAGTCTTGTGGAGTTTCTTAGCACAGGTAGGTGGGCATGTGCATTGCCCACCCTTCAAGTTCAGTGGGCTTTCGTGTGAGGGTGCATGTTAGATATATATAAAACCATTAGTGTAGCCTTACCCACTAGTTTAAGCTTTTGGGTGAATTGGTTCTTTACATGATATTGAAGATAGGTTGCCGGTTTGATGCACGAGACGGATGACTTGCCGGAATGATGCACGGCAAGGGTTTCTGCGGAAATAAGGTTTTCCCAGAACACAAGCTCTGGTATCAACTTGAAGAATATGGAAAATATGAATATTGTATTGTATAGAATTGTGTAAATGAGTGTACAAAAGCTCTCTAAGTAAAGAGGCTAAAAATCCTAATGGGCTATGCCCAAGGAATCTTCTAAAGTAATCTACAATACTAATATAAATAATACAATATTATTTCTAACAGAAGCATAGTGGGTCCATAAACCACACCGGACTCTAATACCATGTAAAGAATCAATTCACCCAAAAGCTTAAGCTGATTGGTGAGACTGCATTAATGATTTTATATATCTCTAAAGCATCATTGGTTATCATAATGATGGTTGAAACTTATTGTAAAATTCATAGTGCATTTAGAATATTGTCATGTGGGCTGAAATAAATATTGTTTTCCGAATATTTAGAGAGTTGACTGATAGTATTTTGTTAAATCGTATGCAAAGCCTCGTTTGTATTCCCTTGATGGCTGGCTTCTTTTTCATCTTTCCTCCTATCTTTATTTTATTGAGCAAGTGCTAGCATTTGTTTTTCTATACGTATTGTTTGTCATTACTGTTACTGTGACTCACATCTGACAGAAGGTAGTAGCAGCACCATCAGTGTCAGAAATGATCCTTGTGCCATTTGTTGGTTAAGACCTGTTCTGTATATGTTATTACTTTAACTCTTTCAAGGCAAAATATATTTTAGTGTTTTTTCCACTGTGTATTTGACGTGGTGACCTGGTTTATATTGTACAGGTGCATCAGAACAAAACATTTCTATAGAGGAAAGTTCATCCGTACCAGAAGATCCAGAGACTGCCAAGAAACTAAAATTGCTAAATGAAAAGATCACAAGCAATTGCTCTGCTATGCCAATTGTTTTGAAAAGGATGAAAGACTGCATTGCGAAAATTGAGAAGTTATATTCATACAATGCTGCAATCATACATCCAGCCTTCTAAAGGAAGAAGCCAGGATAAGCATAATGTATCATAGTTTAGTTAGTTATCTGAACATCTAAGAAGATAGGTGATTCAGCATTGACCAACTTGGATTTGTTCAATGAAGCCACATGTTCGCATTTTCCTTATGCTGCAAGTATGAAGAAAGCTTCTTTTCTGATGGATTACATTGTTTGGCCATTTGGGATAATATTTTGAAAAGCATCCCATGCCTGCAGGAACAATGAAGGAGTGAGATGGTGAAGAGAAAGATTGGACATTGTATAATCCTTATCCCTTTTTTGTGTTAGCTTGATCATTGATTTGTATGTAATCTTTTTTTCATTTGCTGAACTTGTGTTAGCTTGTTCATTAATTGTATGTAAGCTTTTTTCATTTGTTGACTTATTCTTTGACCTATTGTAAGCTTGGTCATTAGTAGATTTAGCCACTTCAGTTTATACAACTTTGATTAAAATAAAGGGTTTTATAAGAGTTATGTCGTAGGAAGAGTGATTGTTTTATGTTATAGAGATTTGTTTTGCGTGTCAAAGTTTTTTTTTTTTTTTTTTTTTGCTACGGGTCTCACAAAATATTGTGTGTGTAGGAAATTTCTCGTGGTCATGTTAAATGATAGATGATAAATCCTAAAATAAAATACAGCTATTGTAAGCGAAATCCACACCCCAAAGAAAAAATAAAGTAAAAATTAAAAGATAACCTGTCCAAAGCCTAATTTGTCTCATTCAATTGAAGGTCCTGAGGAAGAGAAGAAACAAAAATAAGTAAATCTCAAAATTCTCCCATAAGAGATACATTAATTTTTAAAAAATAAAGAAGTCTGCAAATGGTCCTTAAGAAATCATTATATTGGTTACATCACTCCTTTTCAAAAACTAATGTCTAAAATATTTACGATTGTTTAGAAATTATGGTTGGATTGTAATTTCTTAAGATCAGTAGGTTCACTCGAGTATACTTAACACTTGGGATTAGAGTCAATTTCCGTTTTGCATAAAGATAATAGAAAACCTACTCGGGGTTGGAACATGAGTTTGCGTAATTATTTTTCAATGTTTAATTAAACAAACAAAATATTAATATTGGTCAATAATTTTTATAGAGAAAAGTGTTTATCCTTTTAAATGACATAATTTATATCATTTCACTATCACAAAGAGGTGGGATCCACATCTTTATTTTTTTTTGTCAACTCTCTCTCCTTCTTTATCTATTTTTTTTTTCTCTCTTAAAATAACACAACTTTACCTCCTTTAAAATGATATAAATTTTTCCTATTTTTTATATTTAAGCAAATATATAGGAACGGTCTTCCCTACACAATTGAAACGGTATGAAGCACCAAATTTTATTTATTTATTTTGCTGCGACTATTTCCATTCTGAGTTCAGAATTAATATTCTCAACTTTGATTAAAATAACTTTCATCTCGGGTGCTCAAATCAGGTGTATTTTTTTTATTCCACATAAATTTTTGAGATTCACACAATGATAACTCAATTGACATAATTTATCTCTCACAATCACAAACTCAAACACTTTAGAATTTTTTTCGAACCAACACCATGAGCTACAACATTGATGGAGAGAAAATCATTGTCATGATTAGAAACATTCCTAACAAACATACCTATAATCATGGTACTATTGTTGCAAATTCAAACTATATTCATGAGAGACGAAATTTCAACTTAAATAACATCATATACAATCACAGATAAAAAATATATCAAATGCGTTTATTTCGAAAAGTTATGCGAAATTAAAAAAAAAAAACTCATTTGGGCGTACCAAAGTTATAGCCTTCCGAAATTTTATGATAAAATATCTCAAATTTTAGAAAATTTCACAAAATTCCCTTCAATGAAATGTTATTGCGTTGATTTCGAAAAATTACATGAAATAAATTTTTTTTATCTAATTTAAATAATAAAAAATTATGCTCTTCCAAAATTTTAGGTTAATTTAAAACTATAAGTTAAACTAATCTCATGTTACATGAGAGAGTATGTCCCATGTTGTGAGATAAATTTAATGTAGATCCCACTGAAAAAGAAAAAAAGAAAAAATAATAATATGGGATCCATTCTAATTTTGTCACTCACTAAGATAAATTATCTCCTTCAACAAGATTAGTTTAGCCCTAAAACTATTGAATTTTTCTATCACCGGAATTTTGCGATCTCAGCATAGTGGGTCTTCACTCTTCAGCCATTAGTATGTTTTTTTTTTTTTTTTTTGGTAGGTGCCCTACACATGCTGATAAACGAAACCCTAACACACACAATTGGTAGGTGCCAACACATGTTGAATGCAACAACAATGTCAATGTCGGTGTTAAGGTTATGGTTAAGAAAGCACTGTACTCATTCTCGGTCTCGGTGTCAGTCTCAGCAACCATTAATTGACAAAGCTGATGATGATGTTGCCTCACTCAATCGCATGCTCCTTATGCGTCCTACCCCACCCATCATCGAATTTGGCAAGATTTTAGGATCCCTTGTGAAGATGAAGCATTACAACACTGTTCTTTCCCTTTTGAAACAGATGGAGTTCAGAGGAATTACTCCAAACATTGTTACTTTCAACATGCTGATCAATTGTTTCTGCCACATGGGTCAATTGACTTTTGCTTTTTCTGTATTAGCTAACATTCTCAAAAGGGGTTATCATCCAGATACAATAACCTTGACAACACTTTTGAAAGGTTTCTGTCTCAATGGTCAGGTTCAGAAAGCACTGTACTTTCATGACAACCTGGTAGCACGAGGATTTCAGTTGAACCAAGTTAGTTACGGGACTTTGATCAATGGGTTATGTAAAATTGGTGAAACAAGAGCAGCCATGCAGTTGTTGAGAAAGATTGAAGGGAAATTGGTTAAGCCTAATGTGGTAATGTATAGCACAATCATTGACAGCTTATGCAAAGATAAACTTGTAGCTGATGCATGTGAATTATTTTCTGAAATGGTTGTCAAGGGAATTCATCCTAATGTTGTCACTTTCAATTCTCTAATCTATGGGTTTTGCATTCTGGGTCAATTCAAAGAAGCAATTGGCTTGTTAAATGAAATGCCATTGAAAAACATCTATGCTGATGTTTATACCTTTAATATGTTGGTTGATGCATTATGTAAGGAAGGAAAGGTTAAAGAAGCTAAAAATATGTTAGCTGTAATGATAAAAGAAGGTATAGAACCTAATGTTGTCACTTATAGTTCATTAATGGATGGATATTGCTTAGTTAATGAAGTGAACAATGTAAGATATGTATTCAACACTATGGCCCAAAGGGGAATGACTCCTGATGTTTGGAGCTATAGTATCATGATTAATGGGTTATGTAAGAATAAAATGGTGGATGAAGCCATGAATCTTTTTAGAGAAATGAAATGCAAAAATATGACTCCTGATTAGGTTACCTACAACTCTCTTATTGATGGTTTGTGCAAATCAGGGAGGATCTCTTATGTTTGGGGTCTTATTGATGAGATGCATGATAAAGGTCAAACAGTTAATGTAATCACTTACAATTCCTTATTAGACGCTTTATGCAAAAGCCATCATCTGGACAAGGCAATTGCATTATTCAAGAAAATTAAAGATGAGGGAATTCTGCCAGATATATGCACATACAATACACTTATTGATGGACTATGCAAATGTGGAAGACTTAAGATTGCACAGGAGGTTTTTCAGGATCTTTTGATCAAAGGCCATCATATAAATGCCCGGACGTATAATATTATGATCAATGGGCTGTGTAAAGAGGGCTTGTTTGATGAAGCATTGGCCTTGCTGTCAAAAATGGAAGACAATGATTGCATCCCTGATGCTATAACTTTTGAAGTAATTATCCTTGCTCTCTTTGAAAAAGATGAGAATGATAAGGCAGAGAAACTTCTCCGGGAAATGATTGCCAGAGGTCTCTTGTAAGAGTAAGACTAGGTGAGATGATTTCTAGTCACACATTATTTTATTTTCAGTTTTGGCGACAGCCAGCCAATCTTTATTTGCTTTGATAGTTACACATCAAAAAGAAGATGAACTATGCAATGGGCTCACTATTACTTTAATTTTGATTAAAAACATATATTGTTAGGTTCATCTTGATATTGTAATGATACAGAAGGTCGAATTTTTTGGTACTTGACGTGGCTTTCCTCTTTCCTCCCAATGTACTTTACAGGGAAACTTTAAAATGATTTATTTTCAAAAGAGAGAAATGGTTATCATTTGAACCTTCTATGGAAAATGAAATTATTATTTAAATCGTCGTCACTTTTCTGAACGTGTCCGCATCAGCTTGTCTATGTACTATGTTCTTGCCCTTTGTTTTTTTTTTAAGTTGTTTCTTTAATCTGCCTGCCTGACTTGAAATATTGCTTCATTCCCCTGCAAAATTCTGAGTGGTGAGATTGACTTTGGAATTTTTTCTTCTATAAACTTAAACTGGCCTCTTTGCATCATTGGTTACCATAATGATGGTTGAAACTTATTATAAAGTTCATAGTGCATTCTGAGTATTGTCATGTGGGCAGAAATAAATATTGATTTTTTAATATTTAGATAGTTGACTGATAATATTTTGTAAAACCGTATGCAAAGCCTCTTTTTCATCTTTCCTCCTACCTTTATTTTCTTGAGCTAAGTGCTAGCATTTGTTTTTCTATGCGTATTGTATGTCGTTACTTTTACTGTGTCTCACATCTGACGTGAGTTAGTAGTCGCACCATCAGTGTTAGAAATGATCCTCGTGCCATTTGTTGGTTAAGACTTGTGCTTTATATGTTATACTTGTTTCTCTAACTCTTTCAAGGTGCAATGTATATTAGTTTTTTTTTTCACTATGTATTTGACGTGTTGACCTGGTTATATTGTATAGGCGCATCGGATCAAAACATTTATAGGGAGGAAAGTTCATCTGCACCAGAAGATCCAGAGACTGTCAAGAAACTAGAATTGCTGAATGAAAAGATCTCAAGCAATTGCTCTGCTATGCCAATTGTGTTGGAAAGGATGAAAGACTGCTTTGCGAAAATTGAGAAGTTAGATTCATACA